GGAACCAACATGTCCGTGGGCATGTTTAACCAGGCTGCCACTGCTGGTGGCTTAGGCATTATGGGGGCCATGCCTAGTGCAATGAACTGGCCACGTCAGTGACCCGGCAGCTGTCCTAGTCAAGCTCCTTCCCTCCAACTGGGGCCTTGCCAAGTGGCTGCCTCAACTCTTGCCTCGGCGAATCATCATCACTGAAACAAATGTCAACCACTCCTATGATTCGTCTTGTAACTGAACTGATGATGGGGCCTCACTTGGCAAGGTTTCTCATCATATTTGTATCTAAGATATTTCTTCTTGAACTTAGTATATTGTATGCAAAGTATTGGAATTTTCTCCATTCCAACATGCTGATATAGTCTTTGAAAAGTGAATTTTTAAGATGGCATGGCATGTTTGGCAAGTGAGGCGTTCTATTCAGTAGTTACCATTAGCTAGTTTTTGAGTTTACCATTGATGATGTTGGTATCTATTACAGCTTACTGAAGTCTGGACTGGAGGTGACCACTTACTGCTGCACAATCCCCTTTCTAGGAGGTTAGAGGTTGCGCACGTTTCCACTAAGTACTTGACAGGCCCGGTTGTCAAGGGGTAGGGAAAGCTCAGCTCACCCCATCATTACAGTATGCTGACACCTGCACCATTTCCTCCTTGTCTACGGGACTGCTGTCTACTTAAGCCAACAACATCATTATTAGTTATCCTCACTGTCCAAAAGCCTGTTGAGTTATGCCAGCATGTTGTTGATTTATATACATGTATATATATATATATAATTTTTTTTTGTTTACAAACCAAATATTCCATTGTAATTTTAGTAAGCATTTTCCTAATTTCTTTATAGGAGATAATATTTTTCATTATCTGTTTGAGACAAAATTATTTGTGTATGGACCAAGAAACTGTAGCCCTCTAAATAATTAAATAAATATTGTATTAAAAGGCATGTGCTTGTGCTTAATTGATCTTGCAGTTCCTATGTTATTGTTTAATAGTGCCCTACAAATAGCAATGTGGAATGTATGGGTTTGACACTTGCTGCTTTTAGCAGTCATCTTGCAACAGTATCTACATCTTATGATCAAATGACTACTGATTGGGGAAATTTTATTGCCTTATTAATACCAGTTATAAATAACTACAGAATATGAACTTTTTACTGTTATTTGATACATGGAATAAAATGACACTGCGTAAATGAAGGAGGCCTACTACTGAGAAGACCTGTTCATTTCAATTTTAGTCTGTTGGCCATAGTTATTATAGTACAAATACATATATTGTTTATTGAACTTCAAAATGTAGAAAATGTACAAATATAAAATATTTAGAAAAATGAACACGAGTTTAATATTGAGAACCTCGTAGGAAAAGTGCAGATGAAATCAGTCTTGTTTTGATTACCTTAATTAGCTGCTCAATAATGGCTATAACTATTTGCTAGGATTCTGTAAAATGGTCAGTTGACAGGAAGTGGTGGTCTGGCTTTGTGATGGTCCCTTTATACATTATTGTTTCATGTTTATCCTACACACTATTACCTACTTTTTTTTAAGTATTCATATTTGTTTCATCTATTAATTTTATTTTGATTAATTTTAGGAGTGGCAATTTATAAGGTGGTGTACAGTATACAGGTTTATCAGAGGCCGACTGTTTGTTGTGTGGTAAATATGCAAGCATTAAAGTGCTTTCAGCCACAGTATTCAGGAAGGCTTCCAAGGATTAATTAACATGTTGGGAGTTGCAGATGTTCCTACTTAAATAGAAGATACACATGTACTGCTCATTTGGTTTCCATGGAGTAAGTAATTGTCAAAAGAAGGCACAAAGCCGGGAAGGTTATTTAGCACCGTCAAAAGGTGCTAAATGTGACTGGTCCAAGCAATAGCCTGTTCGACCATGCTCTCAAGTCTAGCATGGCCTTGGAGTAGAACTCCCAGAACCTCATCAAGCAGGTATCACTAAGGATGCCAATACACGAAAAGTACATAATGCGAACTATATCAGAGGTACAGTATCTGATTCACCAAGGATTCTATCGAGGGACATGTGACTACAAAGGACAGTCAGAAAGCAAGACATGCATGTTCTGGAAGTCTGAGCATTCAACAACAATACACTGTATGCACGACTGTAAGAGGGACGTTGCAGTTTGGACAATAAGGAGCAGGTCGGCGCTCCATTAAGTGTCTGTGAATGGCTAAGACAACCTCACCAGAGCCGTTTCCCACCGCTGGTTATGGTGGTAGGAGGATGGCCATGTGGACACACTATCCTTAAGAGCACCTGTGTGGATAGCCTCCTTAGCGGCAGTGTCCACATGCTCATTTAAGAACACACCAATATGGCTGGGAACCCAGCAAAACTCCACTGTCTGAAACCAGCTGGAGGTAAGAAACAATGTTGAATTTCAACTACTACAGGATGGACTGGACTTAAGGCCTCCAGAGCCATGACGGCATTGTGAGAGTCAACTACAACCACAAAGGAGGATTGACAGTGAGAAAGCAGTAGACGAAGAGCATAGAGAATAGCATAAAGTTCTGCCACGAAGATGCTAGTCTCCAGAGGCAGGCAAGACAACAAAAGTAGCCTACACAGTCTGCAGACTTTGACCCATCTGTGAAGAAGGAAATTGGTTCCCATGGAGGGTAGGTGTAGTAATTTAAATTTAATAGAATAACAAATATTTTATTTTGTTACTATAATGTAAACAAACCATTGCAGCTTGATGTGTGTTTATAAAGTACTGCAATCATGTTAGGAACTTTAGATCTCAAGGTAGTTAATTTTTTATCTATTATGGTTGAAGATAAGTGCTTGTGACAATGTACAGAAGCAGATGAAAATATTTAATGTTTTGCCCATTAGGATTCTCATGTGACTAGATATACAGGGGGTTGTAGATCTAATTGTAAGAGCCGAGCATCATAGTTATTGTACCTGCAGCTATCTGCCATAGGTATCGATACCCTAGCCTAATTCCGACAATTACAATGTCACAATATCTGGCGGATGCCTTTCTGCCTTTCTGCCTCCTCAAGTGTCGCTGACCTCTTGTCATCTCCAATTTCCTGAAGTAGTGCAGTTTTTTACAACATAGTGGAATGGACAATGACTATATGGAATGTAGTCTAAACAAATGAGAAACCTTGTTCTGTGTACAATCCATTTTGTCGGGGGCTATCTTGAGATGATTTCGGGGCTTAGCATCCCCGTGGCCTGGTGCTGGACAAGGGGTCTTTTTTTTTTTTTTTTTTTTTTTTTTTTTTTTTTTTTTACACATCAATGTCACGAGTCACGAATGTCACAAGTGAAGTACCACAGGGTTCAGTTCTTGCACCGGTAATGTTCATTGTCTACATAAACGATCTACCAGTTGGAATACAGAATTATATGAACATGTTTGCTGATGATGCTAAGATACAGTCTCCGTGGTGTAGTGGTAAGACACTCGCCTGGCGTTCCGCGAGCGCTATGTCATGGGTTCGTATCCTGGCCGCGGAGGATTTACTGGGCTCAATTCCTTAACTGTAGCCTCTGTTTAACGCAACAGTAAAATGTGTACTTGGTTGTAACAAGGATTCTTCGCGGCGGGGATCGTATTCCAGGGACCTGCCCGAAACGCTACGCGTACTAGTGGCTGTACAAGAATGTAATAACTCTTGTATATATCTCAAAAAAAAAAAAAAAAAAAAAAAAAAAAATAATAGGGAAGATAAGAAGCCTAGATGATTGTCATGCCCTTCAAGAAGACCTGGACAAAATAAGTACAGTATATGGAGCAACACTTGGCAAATGGAATTTAATGTGAATAAATGCCATGGTATGGTATGTGGAACTGGAGAACATAGACCCCACACAACCTATAAATTATGTGAGAAATCTTTAAAGAATTCTGACAAAGAAGGGGATCTAGGGGTGGTTCTAGATAAAAAAAAAACTGTCACCTGAGGACCACATTAAGTACATTGTGCGAGGAGCCTATGCTACACTAACTTCAGAATTGCTTTTAAATACATGGATGGTGAAATATTAAAGAAAGTGTTCACGACTTTTGTTAGACCAAAGATGCAGCGGTTGTATGGTGCCCATATCTTAAGAAGCACATAAACAAACTGGAAAAGGTGCAACTGACATGCCACTAAGTGGCTCTCAGAAGTGTAGGACAAGAGCTACGAGGAGAGGTTAGAGGCATTAAATATGCAAAAGACCAGAAGATAGAAGAAAAAGAGGTGATATGATCACTACATACAAAATAGTAACAGGAATCGATAAAATTGATAGGGAAGAATTCCTGAGACCTGGAACTTTTAAGAACAAGAGGTCATAGATTTAAACTCACGAAACAAAGCTGCCGGAGAAATACAAGAAAATTCACTTTTGTAAACAGAGTGGTAGACGGTTGGAACAAGTTAGGTGGTGGTGGAGGCCAAAACCGTTGGTAATTTCAAAGCGTTATACGAGTGTTGGGGAGACGTGACTCCTGTAACTACACTTAGGTAATTACATTCCCAGGAAGCAGCCCGTAACAGCTGTCTTAACTCCCAGGTACCTATTTACTGCTAGGTGAACAGGAGCCTCAGAGTGAAAGAAACTGCCCATTTGTTTCCACCTCCACTGGGGATCAAACCTAGAACCTTAGGACTATGAATCTGAGTGCTGTCCACTCAGCCATCAGGCCCCAAGTGAAGCAGGCAGCCTGTGCATATACATTACTTATATTGAGGTACCCCAAAGTTAAATTATTTGCCTTCCCCAGGATGCATCTTCACAGCATTTGACTAGCTCCTGGGAACCTATTTATTGCTTGGTGAACAGAGGCATTGAGAATGGAAATGTGCCCAACCTTCCTGTGTCTTGCCCGGGATTATGTATTATGTTGTATGTACAGTAATTGAAGTTACAAGATTCTTAGTACAGTATCTGTTTTATATTTGGTTTTCAAGTGCTTGAAATGTTGACTTTAAATCACAGAAAATTACTGCAGTGTTTTTCAGTGCATTAGTAGCAAGTTGTAGAACAGCCAATTTTGAATGTGTGGAGCTAAGCCAGTTATGTCTTGCAAGTAGTCTATGAACATCTGTTGTAGTCATTGTATATTATACAGGCTGCTGCATTGTGACCTATTGACATTTGAACAGAGCCATCAGTGTAAGTATAGTGCTCATGAGGACCTAAGTTACTTATAAATGAAGTGATAGCATTCCTCAAAGCAACAACATCTGAAACTGTGTCTTTACTCTTGTTGCTGATGGGCATGTAAGACAGCTGTATTTCAGGGTACATATATAATGGAATAAATTAGCTAGTACATTACACAAAATAGCAATATTCAGTCTGATGAGGTTGGCAGCACTTTTAGTCAACCAGTTTGCATACAGGTTGCTTGCTAGTGTATTAGCAACGCTTTCTTGCCTGCAAGCAACATCAGTCAGTTTGTCTCTTAAGTAGTATCTGTGATGTTTGATCTCTCATGACCTTTGTACAGAAGGTCATGTTCAGCTATTCATTCAGGAGTCTGCATAAATGATGAAAAGTGGTGGTCCAAGTGCTGTAGTACTGTATTTTAAGGTTGCACTATATTTCTTAATTCTGACATCCACTTTTCTTTTTGTCAGGTACCAGTACTTTCTAATCCAGTTCAGCATCATAGTAGTTACCCTAATCATCTTTTCCAATTTGTGGGGGTTAAAAAGAAAAGTTAAAGACTTTTTGGTAATCTTGGAAACTGAAATCCACCAATTCTTCTTCTTTACCAGATCTTGGCAACAATAAAGTGACACCTCTATAATAGGCCAAGTCCCTAGGAGACTTGGCTAAAACAGACCCCCAACAACTACAAACATATCCCTCGCCCAACAGGCAGTAACAATGACCATCAGAGTATTACATCAAAACCCAGGCACATCTTCAAACTCACACTGTGAGGACAGAATCAGAGATCTGGTCCATAATAAACCCTCTGAAAACTGCAAAGTACTTTCTGGGTCCCAAAGATTAGACCAAGCAGGAATAATGGGCACAGGTGCTGCTCACCCAGTATAAGCACCAAAAAACAGCCTAGGGGAAAATATACCAGTAGTTGTGTAGGTTGCTTGCCGCACATCATATAATCCTCATACAAAAACCCAGACTGCCCCCCCCCCCTCCATCACAAAACCTCACAGCAGAGTCAGAGACCTGTGTACTTCCCAATTGGGAGCCAGCTTCTAAGAGAGAGCCAACCAAACCTGCCAGAGAAGGTAAGTTACCAGACAGAGGCAACACCAGGATACGCCTAGAGATGCTCACTAGACATGTGGGGTTCGAGGTGGGCAGTTAATCGGTCATTGCAAGAAATGAGGAATATATATATACATGCACTGTGAAGCAAACACAGAACAAACACACATGCAAAAGGCCCCTGCAAGGCAAAATCAAGAGATCAAGATAGCCAAAACTTAGTCTGAAAAACAGTAACCTGAAGAGCACTGGGGTGGGAAGAGAAGCCTAACATTGAATGTCATAAATGTTAGCACCAGGAACTTACAAATTAGTTAGTTAGGAACTTACAAACATTCCATGGAAAACTGTTCTAAGTAATACAAGTCCTACAGAAGGAATTGAAAAACTGACTTCAGAAGCATATCAAGTCTGTCTGAAACATGTTCCTTTGAGGAATGCCAGAAAGAGATCCAACATAAAAAGAGAATGCAGACGACACTATAAAAGAAAGAAAAAAATAACAAATGCTTAAGCAGACACGACTTTCCTGTCAAAGAAGGAAAAATTTAATTAGGGGGATTGAAGAAATCGAGTGGAAAGTGAAACACTCATATCAAACTGAAGAAAGGCAATTAGAACAGAAAGGAATTCAGGAAATAAAGAAAAATCCAAAATACCTCTTCACATATGTAAAATCAAAAGCAAAAACCACTGCCAGTATTGGACCTATTCGTACAAGTGAAGGTTCATACACGGAGGATGACAAAGAAATTAGTGAAATCCTAAAAAAGCAGTATGAGGACATGTTTAGCACTCCAATAAACAACATGAAAGTGGAAGATCCAGACAATTTCTTTATGCAGGATATCCAAACCCCCGTAAATATAACTGAGATCAACACGAGCGTACTAGACTTTGAAAGAGAAATTGAAAACATGCCCATGCACTCGGCTCCAGGTCCAGATTCATGGAATTCAATACAGGGGTACCTCGGTTTAAGAGTTTAATCCATTCCTGGAGACGGCTCGTAACCCGAAACCTAAGCTCATTTTCCCATAAGAAATAATGGGAAATGAATTAATCCGTTTCTGACTACCCAAAAACCTCACTTCAAGCTAAATTTTATACCTAATTCATCAAAATCTACATTACAAAAGTATGTTCAAGTTATTATTTACCCTTGCTGATAACTGCTGTTGGCATATGGAAGATGGTGAGGAGGAGAGGTGTTACTGTTTGGAAGAGGAGTCCTCTTCCATTATAACATCAGGCAGTGAGGACCTCTCAGGAGTGCATTCTCTGGCATGTTCTGCCTGCATACCACTAGGATGTGCTTGTGGCTCACTGCTTGCTTGTCTTACTAAGAAACTGTGTAAAGACATCTGTTTTTCCCTACATTTTAACACTTGTCTGTAGTAAGACATCATATTGTCATTTAAAAGGTCAATGCAATGGCCTGCTACAGCTTTATCTGGGTGAGTTTTTTCAACAAAACTTTGCAGTTCTTCCCATACTTCACACATTTTCTTACTGAGGAAGTGACATCCTCTACTGCATCTATTCACAACTATTTTCTTAGGTTGAATCTTACCACTGGCTTTCTTGGGACCCATTGCAAGATATATAATAACAACTTTTATGCTCAAATGGTCAAATATCCAACAAAACACTAAATCCTGGTGAAGAATTCTGGCAGGATAGTCACGGTGCGGGGCACTGGTAAACTGAGGGGCGATCACTGTGCTACCAAGCGCTAGGTCGGCCCGTACGCATATCAACACACTCGTATCCCGATGCAAATTTCCTGAGCAAATTCTGCTCATAACCCGAAAAACTCGTAACTAGGGACGCTTGTAATCCGAGGTACCACTGTATTTATAAAGAAATGCAAAGTGCTGGTAGCACAGGCACTCAGTATAGTGGAGGAAGAGCTTGGACACGGGGAAGATACTAGATGCACTTAAAGTAGCAGACATAGCCCCTCTACACAAGGGAGGGAGCAAAGCATTGGCAAAGAATTATAGACCAGTTGCACTAACGTCCCACATAATAAAATTATTTGAGAGAGTGATTAGGAGTCAGGTCACCAATTTCATGGAGAACCTTCACAACCCAGGCCAACATGGATTTCGAGCGGGAAGATCGTGCCTCTCGCAGCTTTTTGATCACTACCACAAAATCACTGAGGCATTAGAAGAAAAACAGAATGCTGATGTGGTATACATGGACTTTGCAAAGGCTTTCGATAAATGTGACCATGGAGTGATAGCACCCAAAATGAGGTCAATGAGAATAACCAGTAAAGTAGGATGCTAGATACTCAGTTTTCTGTCAAACAGGACTCAACGAATAACAGTCATTCATATAAAATCGAGTCGAAGCACAGTTAAAAGCTCTGTACCTCAGTGTACAGTCCTTGCACCCCTGCTTTTCCTTATTCTCATATTAGATATAGACAAAAATACAAATCACAGCTTCGTATCATCCTATGCAGATGACACAAAAATCAGCATGAAAATTACCTCGGCTGAAGACATTGAAAAACTTCAAGCAGATATTAATGAAGTTTTTGACTGGGCAACAGAAAATAACATGATGTTTAACAGTGATAAATTCCAGGTACTCAGGTATGGTAAAAATGAGGACCTTAAACACTTAAACATAATACAGGGTACAAAACACAATCAAATGCGCCCATAGTAGGAAAACAGCATGTAAAGGATTTGGGAATAATGATGTCTGACGACCTAACGTTTAGGGAGCATAACCAAGCGAATATTGCGTCAGCCAGAAAAATGATCGGATGGAGTACGAGAACTTTCAAATACAGGGATCCCATCACGATGGTTGTACTCTTCAAGTCACTTGTGTTGTCACGTCTTGAGTACTGCTCAGTACTCACTTTCCCCTTCAGAGCAGGAGAGATTGCTGAAATAGAGGGAATACAGAGAACATATACGGCACGCATAGACGCGATAAAGCACTTAAATTATTGGGATCGTCTCAAAGCCCTCCAAATGTACTCACTAGAAAGAAGACAAGAGAGATATCAAATAATATACATGTGGAAGATACTGGAGGGCCAAGTACCAAATCTACACAGTAAAATAACAACGTACTGGAGTGAACGATATGGAAGAAAATGCAGAATAGAACCAGTGAAGAGCAGAGGTGCCATAGGCACAATCAGAGAACACTGTATAAACATCAGAGGTCCGTGGTTGTGCAACACCCTCCCAGCGAGCATAAGAAATATTGCCAGAACAACCGTGGACATCTTCAAGAGGAAACTAGATTGTTTCTTCCAAGAGTGCCAGACCAACTGGGCTGTGGTTGATATGTGGGCCTGCGGACCGCTCCAAGCAACAGCCTAGTGCAAGTCAAGCCTGGCCTCGGGCCAGGCTTGGGGAGTAAAACTTCCAGAACTCCATCAACCAGGTATCAACCAGGTACTAGTCAAAATGACCAGGACAAGGGTGGGGGGAGGGACGGAACAAGGAAGAATATGCATGATTCCCAGGTGATGTTTCCTGACTGGGTAGTTTTTATGTCTGCTTTATTGTCCTGTTTTCTATGCTTTGCTTACATTGGTTGGTTATTTTCGTTCGCCCACATTTCTGGTAATGTTTTGTCTAGAGTGATCTACAATCAACTGTTCCCTGCACCACTTTTAGAGAGGGGGGGGGGGAGGCAGGTTTTGGCCTCTGGTCCCTGGTTATCTTGAGATGATTTTGGGGCTTAGCGTCTCCGCGGCCCGGGCCTCGACCAAGCCTTCTTTTTGTTACATACCTCCAGGAAGCAGCTGTCCAACTCCCAAGTTCCTATTTACTGCTAGGTGAACCGGAGCATCAGTGTGAAAGCAACTCCCCATTTGTTTCCGCCTCCACCGGGAATCAAACCTGGAACCTCACAACTATGAATCCTAAGCGCTGTCCATTCAGCTGTCAGGCCCCCTGGTAGGCTCACCAGGGAGCTTACTTGGTAGGCTTATATAACTCAAAGAATCTGGCATGGATTTAATTGGGTGGAGCCTGCCAGGTAGTAAGGACTATGGAGCCAACAATAGCAGCCCTCCTAGAAAAACATAATTTGCATTCTCAACTAAGATAAAAGTAAGTTATTAAACAGTTACAAGTACTGTAGTTAGATGGATGATGGGTATAAAAAGAGAATACAAGTAACATTTGTAATATATCTATACAAATTAATGGATATAAGTGGGACAAATTTAAATTTAGGGATGGGCTGGGATTTAGACATGGGATCAGCTGGATTATTTATAGCATAGGTTAGACATTCATGAACGAGTTTGGGGGGATATAAATAGGAGCTGTCTCATATAGGCCAATAGACCTTTTGCAATGTCCTTCTGTGGGATAGTGTGTTCTTGAGAACAAGAGGAATTGTTTAGTAGAATGAGCACATTGTAAGCAGTTTATTTAAAGAAAAGTGGATTTCATGGATATAAAGTGAATGAAAGTGCCATGTAAATAAATGTACCAGTATAACAAAAAGAAAAACTAATGAGGATAGGGAGAAAATGTAAAACTTTCAGAAAACATAAAGGCCTGGAAATGTGGAGCAGGGAGACTGGTAGGTTGGGGGGGGGGGTGTGTGGGGGGGGGGGGGTTAGTGGTAATATTAGACATGAGAGTGATGATCTGATTAGAAGTAGATGGTGGGAGAATACTTTAATATAAAGTACTAAACATTTCATTTAATGAGTACGAGTTATAATCTCAGGCAGCAATACCGTACTAGGTATTAGGAATTATATAATGTTTCCTGTCAATCAATAGAAAGATGGGTACTGTAATTATTATACCAACACAGTCTAAATAGAAACAACCGTACAGAAATTATAAAGCACGTCTTTAAAAACGGACCATTGTACAGTAACTTTAGAAATACTGTATACTGAATGCCAGCAACCTTCCAGCACTGTAAAATAAAAATATTTATAACATTTCTTTTTTTATAAAAAACTAGATCAACTTTCAATGGGAAAAAAAAGGGTTCAGTATCAGGACTATTTTCAATTAACTGGAAGCTATGTTAGAATTTTGCACATTCTCATATGTTTTTTTATATCCATATGGAAAGTTTCTCAGTTGCATCATTATTTCTGTGTTAGATTTTAAAATCTTCACAGCCTTGGCATGTTCAATGTCCTCAAAATCGGTTCCATTTACAGAGACAATCTGATCACCTTCTCGCAACCCTAGTCGCTCAGCTTCTGTATTAGGCATCACTTTGGAGAGATATATCCCACAAAAATGTTCCTTGCCTCCTCGGATGTTAAACCCAAGCTGATGAAAAAAATGTGTATGTTAGACAATATTACACAATTTACAAGAAAAATAGCAATGGTACATAATTTGAAATATACTGTACTGCACATATGAATTTTACATTTACAAAAAACTGAAAACTTTTCATGCCTAATTAACAACCATGTAACCATGTATCCTCACATAAAAGTCAAATATTTTAGACTACCCAGTATTTATTTAAAAAAAATTTTTTAGATGAAATTAGCAGGTCAACTATTACACAAGTATTCTTTTCAAGGGGATGAAATTTATGCTTGATAGGAGTAAAAACAAAAAATTCTATATAAAATAAAACATGCCACATAAATTAATGCCCTCACCAGTAGTCTACTGGCATTTGGAAGCATGATCATCAGAAGCCTACTGCAGGGAGTACATATTAATCATAGCTTGCTTCATCGTAATAACATTTACCATATATACAGCTTAGCTCTGTAGTTTAAATTCAGTTTTCTTTTACAGGTAATGAAATTCTGAGATAATTACCTTATACTGTACGTTCTGGTAGTATCCAGGCAACGTTGAGTTTAAGACAATAGCGCCTCCACATTTTAAACAAATGCAGTTTAGCCTAACCAGCCATCTACCATATTTGCATCACACAATTCATGAAATGAAACAGAGCAGTAAAAACAAAAAAATAGACAGACGATGAGTCACAATAATGTCGCTGAAGATATGAAAACTATACTGTACCACACACCAGAAGATGGCGAGGTTATCTTGAGGTTATCTTGAGATGATTTCGAGGCTTTTTTTTTTTTAGTGTTCCCGTGGCCCGGTCCTCGACCAGGCCTCCACCCCAGGAAGCAGCCTGTGACAGCTGACTAACACCCAGGTACCTATTTTACTGCTAGGTAACAGGGGCATAGGGTGAAAGAAACTCTGCCCATTGTTTCTCGCCGGCGCCTGGGATCGAACCCAGGACCACAAGTCCAGCGTGCTGTCCGCTCGGCCAACCGGGGAGACAACAACATTTTGGTCATCGTCTCTGGTTCACACTGCTCTTCCTGCTTCTAATGCTGCTGGTGTCTACTCTATTTCCTGTTCATCTTGTCTTCTCTAATACTTTGGGGAAATTGGCCACACACTAAATGACAGACTTAAAGAACACAAAAGAAGTGTTAAGTCTGCAGATACAAACAATGCTCTTGTTTGTCATGTTAAAGATTCTAATCCTCCTACTGATTGTCTTCTAAAATAATCTTTCCTGCCTCTACTCTTCACAGACGCCGTCTTGTTGAATCGGCTCTGATTCAACATGAACCTTGATCCTGACTTTGTTGCTGTTGACTCTTCCCTTTCACAGTACGTACTCAAATGTTCTAACCTTCATAACAAATGTGACCTAATATAACCCTAACTCCCTTTTTCTCTTTTTCTTTTTTCTTTCTTTTTCCTCTTATTTTTACATTACCATTCTTATACCCATTGTTACCTCTTCTTACACCCCATTATTATACCCATCCCATCCGTACCTTTCGCCTTGCTCCTAACTTTGTCTAGGAAGTTCCTCCTCGTCCACCTCTCTTGTCTACTTAATTCCCATGTCTTCCTCACTCCTATAGCCCGGGCTCACGGGCTCACTACAGGCTCACTATAGCCCGTGCTACATGGACATTTCATTCTGAGCAGCTAAATCTAAAATAACAAACAGCCTCACTCCCATCACAATCGACTTGATAATGGTCCAAGACGGACTGAAACGTCGTCGTCTCCTCATCTTCTGGTGTGTGGTTTAGTCTTCAAAAAAAAAAAAAAAAAAATGTAATGAATGTCAGACTTTGGCATCAGTCATGTGTATGGAGTTCTTAGGCCTACCGGGGACCACGGCCAGAACCGGGCCCCCTCAGAGAGGCAAGGGGAGCAATGGCCTATAGAAGCCCCCGTGTAGTTGGAAGCATTCTATGTCTGCCATCGACCGGAACAGGCACCCAGAAAGGTAAGCGCCCCAAAACAAACCCCTATTCTGGTTAAAATTGCTACCTAAAACCGAACTAGTGGATAGAACTCCCTAACCGAAAACAAGCAAACTAGTGTGACGTCACACACTGCCGCGCCGCTGTCTGCGCAGCTCCCCCCTCCCCGGGAGGGGGAAGGGGGAGCCCCAGACCCCCCGCGCCGGCTACCCACACCTCAGTTCTTGAGGCTGGATGTCAAAAACGCGAAAAACCGCCGACCGGAGGGAGGGAGGGATGCCGGGGAGCCTCCGGGACTCACCCAGAAAATGGCGTTTCATTACATTCAACGCTGGTTTTCTGGGGGAGCCCCGTCGGCTCCCCGGAGCTAACTACCCACAGACAGAAAAAGAGGGATTTACCCGGGAGGCGGTCGTCGCTCACTCCTCAACTCAAAGCCGAGACAACTGGCTGCAACCGCCGACCCAAAGCAACACCGGCCCGACGAGGCCCAGGGACATTCACAAGGTAACGAGCAGCCAGGACCCTGTTCGACCGCCAAAATCCCCGCGCCCGAATATCAGACCAAGACATATTCCCAAAGACGGCAGCAAGAGCCGCGAACTTACGAACGTCATGGGCACGGGGATAGACCGCAGGCTGGCCGGACCTAATAACCTTGCGGACGACCTGAGAGACCCGAACCCGCGAACAGGGAAGAAGGGAAACCGGATCAACCCACAGCGCGTCCCCGGACACAGAAGCTGTGGCGCGCAAATAACGGCGAAGCGCCGCAACCGGACACAAAACATGATGCACCCCCGGCCTGACCAACCAAGCATCAACCACCCATGGACCCCTCCGGAACGCAGCAGTCTCATTCTTCGCCAGAAAAGAAGGAGACGGCTGCAAACGAACAAAACTATCACCACGACCAAAAGAGCAGAAACCCCTGCGCCGGAGGAGAGCATGAAGCTCCCCTACCCGACCCCCAGAGGCCAAAGCCAACAAGAAAAGTGCCTTGGAAAAACAAACCTGGACCAAAAGGGCCACAACGAAACGAGGAGATGAAAGGAAAGCGAGCACTCTGTCCAAAGACCAGGACGGCTCAGGCGACGCATGAGCAGGCCGGAGGTGAAACAATGCACGAGACAGCTTGCGAAACGGCGCAGACGTAACATCGATACCGAAAGCAAGCTGAAGCGGCTCCGCCAGCGCCGCACGATACGAAGCGACAGTGTTAGGCATAAGATGACGGTCCTGAAACAACCACGAGAGGAAGGACAAGACCACCCGAACAGACAAGGAGCTAAGACGACGAAGACGCAAAAAGAAACGGAAGGACCGCCAGGAAACTTCATACTGCCGCCGAGAAGAAGCCCTCAGGTGGGACACCAACAAGGAGGCCACCTGATCACCATAGAGATGATGATAGACTCGAGTCAAAAAAACCATATGCGAAGACTCGAGGAGAAGATCGAACCAGCTACGTGACGTACCGGCCCGATCTGCTGAAAGAGGCGGAGCCGCGGGAAAACCCTCGGGTTCGGACACCGAGCAACCAGCGCCTGGAACCAAGGCTGGGCCGGCCACCAAGGGGCCAGAAGGACAACTCTCCCCCGGTAAGTCTCTAAGCGAGTCAGGACCTGGAGCAACAGCCGAACCGGGGAAAGAGGTACAGGAACCCCCACCTCGACCAGTCGAGCCGAAAGGCATCGACCCCGACGGCCTCGCAATCGGGGAAGGGCGCCTTATAAACTGGAAGACGCCGCGACCACGCCGACGCGAAGAGGTCCACCTCGGGACGCCCGAACGTCTGGCAAAGCCAACGGAAGGACTCGTCGTCGACCGTCCACTCCGTGGAGAGGGGAACGAAGCGAGACAGGGCGTCGGCCAAGACGTTGGACACGCCCCGTACGTGAACCGCCAGGAGAGCCAAACCCCGAGAACTCAGCAGACGAGTCACCCGAAGCGACCAACCCCAAAGAGACAAGGACCGCATCGAACCCCCGCGGTTCAGGCAATGAACCACCGGAGAGCAGTCCGAATGGAGCCGAATCGTCGATCCGCGGGCCACCCGAATCCTCCCCAGAGCAAACCACACTGCCGCGAACTCCCGCACCGTACTGTGAGCTCGACGGAAGGACGGATCCCAACGCCCCTGGCCTGCCTGGTGAGCACTGGTCACAAAACCCCAGCCGAGAGACGACGCATCCGTGTACACATCGAGTGAGGGCTCGGGTAGGCGCCAAGGCACTGAACCCCGAAAAACCCGAAGAGGAAGCCGGTGACGCATCAACCGACGCAAGTCCCCCGGGGGTCGAACTCTGCGATCGCGAGAGAGGCGGAAGGGGGAACCCCGAAGGAACCAGAACAGCCGTCGAAGCCAAACCCGACCCGGCGGGTAGACCACCATCGCGAAGTTCAGGCTCCCGCACAGCCCCTCGAGCAACCGCCGGGTGACCCGAGGGCCCTCCAGAAACAGACGAAGGCGGGACCGCAGCCGCAGGAGAGACTCCGGAGGGAGAGACAAGGAGGCGGTTCGAGAGTCCCACACGAGACCCAGCCAAGTCCGAACCTGAGAGGGAACCAGATGGGACTTCCTCCAGTTCACCAAGAACCCGAACCCGGCGAGCTGGGAAAGAACCAAATCCCTGGCTAGCAAGCAAGCTGACTGGCTGGGAGCCCAAACCAGCCAGTCGTCGAGGTAGGCCAACACCCGAACACCTAGGAGACGCAAACGAGCCACCACAACCCGTGTAAGGCGTGTGAACACGCGAGGTGCCAGGTTCAACCCGAACGGGAGACAACGAAAGCGGTAACTCAGACGCCCCACTACAAAACCGAGCCAGTCCCTGAACCGCGGATGAATCGGAAAAAAAAAAATAGAAGGATGGTGAGATGACTAATTTTTCTTACTGGTAGGTTGACCAACTGACTCTGTTGGCCAGAGAGGGTGCCTGGTGTGCTGATCATGAGGAATTCTGTCTAGGTCTTTGGCCTGTCTGCGATGCTTCCCCGTGAGACAATAAGTTTACCTTATATCACTCCAAAAATAACATTGTGTTCTATTGGTAATGCTTCTAGAAATAAATACCAGTATTCTATTTGCCTTATTTCAACATTGTGACAGTTGTCTGTGAAATGGTGTAAACAATTAAACCATGTAAATGTTGGCACCATGTGTGTAAATACATGCACCAGATGGGTGCATGATGCATGTGTTTATTGTGTTTGGAAATGAGGAAATATAAGGGTTGCAAGGTTTGCAGCAGGTCTTGTGCATACATTTTAATAATGGTGAAGTAGAACCCATCAACGGATGTGTAATGCTTGCTATTATACGGTGTTCTAACATATGCACCGAGCATCGCAACTACAGTACAGGGCAGGCAACAGTAAGATAGGTACACATTTGAACCTAAATATCCAGACCTGTTTTGCTACTTTAGTATTACTTAGAAGTAATACTGTTTTGCTACTAGAAGTAATACTGTTTTACTATTAGAAATAATATACATGTCTTAAATTCATGACAATTTTGTAAGTGTTATTTTTACATACAGGATAATACACTGACCCTCAAATGTTGACCTGTTGCTATCCTAAGGTCAACTTTTACACTAGGCACTGTATATGGAAAATTCCACTTTTTTTTTCCCCAAAAATAGGAAGTCAGTTTTTACATGTGATAGACTATTACACGAGGATATACAGTAAGCATGATAAATCTGCTAGGTTACATTTTCACAACAGAATGACAAGATAGGAATTTTAAGGAACACTCACAGCATCAGACACTTTCTCTCTGATGAGAGTCACTGTCCTCGTCAAGAACTGCGTTAGATCATTATTATAGTCTGGATGATGACAACGCTGTAATGGAGAGAGTGAATATTATTTTTAATAATGACTGCAGACTCTTATCCACATTAATTATCAGATATTAAACTGATTGCTGAAGGATAATGAAATTATGCCCATTCTTCTTTACTTCTAAGACAGTATTAGAGTATATAATTTTTGAACAAAATTGTGTTCAAAACTTCAGAAACCAAAGATATAAACAAGGTAGACTGCAGGAATGGTGCCCATTTTTTTCATCAAATGAAAAATGCAACCCAGTTTTTTGGCACTGCATGTGGGAAACCCACATTTGCCATTTGTGTTTTTAAATGAGAATTGCAATAAATATAGGTTACCTTACCTTGAGGTGCTTCCGGGGCTTAGCGTCCCCGCGGCCCGGTCGTTGACCAGGCCTCCTGGTTGCTGGACTGATCAACCAGGCTGTTAGATGCGGTTGCTCGCAGCCTGACGTATGAGTCACAGCCTGGTTGATCAGGTATCCTTTGGAGGTGCTTATCCAGTTCTCTCTTGAACACTGTGAGGGATCTGCCAGTTATGCCCCTTATGTGTAGTGGAAGCGTGTTGAACAGTCTCAGGCCTCTGATGTTGATAGAGTTCTCTCTCAGAGTACCTGTTGCACCTCTGCTTTTCAACGGGGGTATTCTGCACATCCTGCCATGTCTTCTGGTCTCATGTGATGTTATTTCTGTGTGCAGGTTTGGGACCAGCCCCTCAATTATTTTCCACGTGTAAATTATTATGTATCTCTCCCGCCTGCGCTCAAGGAAGTACAGATTTAGGCTCTTTAGTCGGTCCCAGTAATTTAGATGTTTTACTGAGTGGATTCTAGCAGTAAAGGTTCTCTGCACGCTCTCCAGGTCAGCAATTTCTCCAGCATTGAAAGGGGCTGTCATTGTGCAGCAGTACTCCACTCTAGAGAGCACAAGCGTTTTGAAAAGTATCATCATGGGTATAGCATCTCTAGTGTGAAAAGTTCTTGTTATCCAACCTGTCATTTTTCTTGCAGTTGTGACGGCTACTTTATTGTGTTCTTTAAAGGTAAGGTCTTCCGACATGAGTACACCCAGATCCTTTACATTGCCTTTACGTTCTATGTTATGATTTGCCTGAGTTTTGTACGTGGTTTCCATTTTTATATTTTCAATTTTTCTGTAGGGCATGAGCTGGAACTTATCCTCGTTAAACACCATATTATTTTCTGTAGCCCATAGGTAGTAAAAAAAAAATTTAAATTAATAAAATGCTTGTTTTTGGTATGGCCTTGGTGGTTTTCTGAAGCTATTGTGTTGAGTTGGCTTTCCCTTACTTAGTCACATTAGCCGTAAATGTCTGTATTGCCTACCAGGGACCAGAGCCAGAATCTGGCCCCTTTACAGAGGTACAAGAAGCAAGGGATTGCTATGATTACACTCTCTGAGAAAACATTCAGAAAGTGATGCAATATTGACAACTGCAAGATTCAAGGAAAATGAAGCATTGAAACAGCCAAATGATTGGTCATCAATAGGTGGCAGCACCCTGGAAGCTTCTAGCTCATGCCAACTTTACCAGAGTCATGAGCTGACACACATGGGAGGGAGGAGTGAATCAGGGAGCCACAAAGGCCCTTTCAGAAAGAGGTGTTTCAATACGTTCAATGCCAGTTTTCTGGAGGAACCAAACGGTGCCTCTTTTGAAGCTAATAACAGAAGAAGGGAAGGAACTGTCAGGAGAAAGTACCCAGCCATTATGACTATAACAATTGGAAGGGATCTGGATAAGGATTTGGGATGGGATGGGAGAAAGGAATGGTGCCCAACCAATTGGATGGTTGGGTACTGAATGCAGACCTGCATGGGACTAACTAGGGAAGAAGAGTGAAAAAAAATAGGTGTGCTAAAATGAGACGCCAGAATGGAAAATGTGACGCAGGGCAACACAAACCTGATGTGGACCAGACATTGACCAGGTAATGTGCTGGCAGGACCCTGTCAGACTGTCGAAACCCTCAACACCGATTATCACCCCATGACATATTACAAAACACCACAGACAGCCACAGATATGCAAACATATCGACCTAAGGATAGACTGCAGGCTAGCAACACATAATATCATTACAGACAACCTGATACAAACGAGCCTTGGAACCGAGACCCATGGAGACCAGATCAACAGCATGGGTCAAGTAGATAGTGATGGGTGTGGCATGCAGACAGCAATGAACTGCTACAATTGGTTAAAACAAATGATGTATACTTGGCAGGACAAACTGAACTAGAAGCCATCTGTTTCATTCTTTGCCAGAAATGAAGGCTGCAAACAAAGAAACTGCCTGCCAGGGCCAAAAGAACAGAACCCTTGCTGCAGAAGGAGAGCATGAAGCTCCCTCAGCTGATAAATGGTGGTGAGGGCCGACAAAAAATATCCTGAACCGAAGGAGGAATCAAGAACTGTGGAGAAAGAAAAACCAACACCCAATTGAGAGACCAAGATGACTCAGGAGGTGTATGAGCCAACCAGAGGCAAAAAAAAAAAAAACAGCATTGAATGTAATGAAATGCCATTTTCTGAGCGAGTCCAGGAGGCTCCCCGGAGCTATCTAGGCTGAATGGATATGTATACTGTATCTTTCTGGCATCAGTCAATACATGGAGTTCTTGCCTACCGGGGACCACAAGCCAGAACCTGGCCCCCTCTAGAGAGGCACGAGGAGCAATGGTCTATAGAGACTCCACTGTGGTTGGGAGCATTCTATGTCTGCCATCGACTAGGACAGGCACCCAGAAAGGTAGGCATCTCAAAACAAACCTCTATTCTGGTAAAACTATTGCAACCGAAGGCCAAACAAATGGACAGAACTACCCAAACGAAAATTAGCAACCTCCCCCCCCCTCCCCGGGAGGGGAAGGGGGAGCCCCAGACCCACCTGCAGGCGATCCAACCTTCAGTTCTTAGGCTGGATGTCAAAAACTGAGAGAAACACTGCCAACCAGAGGGAGAGATGGATGCTGGGGAGCCTCCAGGACTTACCCAGAAAATGGCAATTCATTACATTCAACGCTGGTTTTCTGGGGGGAGCCCCATCGGCTCCCCGGAACTACCTCACTACAGATAAGGAAAAGAGGGAAGGATCCGGGAGGTGGACACCATGTGCCCTGACATAAAAACAAGACCACAGACTAAAAGAAAGGTCCTTGCCGACGACCCAGGAGACCCGAACCCTAGAACAGGAAGGGGGCAAGTACGGGAATCCGGGCAAAGCAAAATGTGTCCACAGCCCCAGAGGCCAAGATGTGCAGAGAACAGTGAAGAGCCACAAATGAACAATAAAAGAAAGCATTCCTCGGCCTGACCAACCAAGCAGCAACCGAAGGACCCCTCAGGAAGCGGCAGACCCGAACATCATCACCCGAGAAGGAGACTGCATCAAAAGAACAACCTACCACGAGGACCAATGAGGCAGAAAAACACGGGTGCCAGAGGAGAGCCGGAAACTCCCCGACACGACCCCTAGAGGTCAACACTAACAGAAGAACGAGACCCGAAAAACAAAAATACACCAGAACCGAAGGGATCACAACAAACCGAGGAGAAGAAGAAAAGACACTACCCGGGCGAATGACCAGGGACAGCACTTGAAGCGCAAGATCAGGCCGGAGGTGAAACAACGCCCAAGACAGCAAGCGGAATGGAGCAGAAGTAACTGCAACACCAAACCCTAGCTGGAGTGGCTCCGCCAGCGCCACCCAATACGAGGCAACAGCACATGGCACCAGAAGACGGTCCCAGAACAACCCTGAAGGGAAAGACAAGACAACCCTATCAAAGACCGAAGAACCCTTTGCAGTGATAGAAAAACCAGAAGGACCGCCAGGAAACCACACACTGCCGCCGAGACGAAGCACGCAGGCGGGAGACCAACAATAAAGCCACCAGCACCCCCACCACAAGCGACGAGAACACGAGACAAAAACTCCAGACATGAAGACTCGAGGGGAAGAACGAACCAGCCCCGTACAGGGCTGGACCGATCCGCAAAAAGAGGTGGAGCCGCGGGAAGCCCCTCAGGATCGGAACCAAGCCCCCAAACAAGGCTGGTAAAAACCAGAAGGAACGGCCACCAGGGAACCAGGAACCCAATCTCGACGAGCCGAAAAGGAACCAACCCGGACGAGCAGAAACGTCCCGTTCGGGAGGACCCCCCCCCCAGGACCCGGGAAGGACGAACAAGGCCAAACACCAAAGAGCCAGGGCCCAGGCAGAGGCCAACGAGACGCGAAGCAAACAGTTCTTGTCTATGTCCGATATGAGGATGAGAAAAAGTACTGGAGCAAGCACAGTACCCTGGGGGACTGAGCTCTTCATGGTTGATGGGCTGGATTTTATTTTGTTGACTATTACACATTGGGTTCTGTTAGTCAGGAAATTGTAGATCCATCTGCCTATTTTCCCGGTAATTCCTTTTGAACGCATTTTATGTGCAATAACACCATGGTCACATTTATCAAAAGCTTTTGCGAAGTCTGTGTAAATTACATCAGCGTTTTGTTTGTTTTCCATAGCATCTAATGCCATATCATAGTGGTCCAGCAACTGTGACAGGCAAGAGCGCCCTGTTCTGAAACCATGTTGTCCGGGGTTATGGAGATGCTGTGATTCCATGTATTTTGTGATTTTACTTCTTAGCACTCTCTCAAAAATTTTTATGATGTGCGATGTTAGTGCTATCGGTCTGTAATTTTTTGCCTCTGCCTTATTTCCTCCTTTATGGTGGTGCTATCTCTGCTGTTTTTAGTATGTCAGGGATAACGCCAGTATCTAGGCTTTGTCTCCACAGAATGTGAAGGGCCTGCGATAGTGTTTTTTTACAGTTCTTGATGAATATGGAGTTCCAAGAATCCGGGCCTGGTGCAGAGTGCATAGGCATACTGTTTATGGCTTCTTCAAAATCTAGTGGGGATAGGGCGACGTCTGATATATGATTTGATGTTGGTATCAGAACCTGGGCCCCTGGTAGGGGCCCAGGTTCTGGTTCGTGGTCCCCGGTAGGCAAGAACTCCATATATTGACTGATGCCAGAAAGATATACATATCCATTCAGCCTGGATAGCTACGGGGAGCCGACGGGGCTCCCTCCAGAAAAGGCACTAAACAATGTGCGAGTCACCAATAAGAGCGACCCCACCAAAGCTGAATGATAAGTGGCAATAGTATGGAGCATAAGATGCTGATCAACAAACAACTAAGACTAAAGAGACAAAAACATTGCTACGGATGCAGAAGAAATACAAAAAGAGAAACGAGAGACAAAAGGACTGCTAACAAATTTCACACTGTTGAAGTGATGAAGGATACAAGTGGGATACCAACAGCTTGGCCACCTGTGCATCATACAACTGGCAATAGACCTGTAGCGGGAATTTCAGATGTATAGGTCAGCATCAAACATCGAACCATCAAGGTACGAACTACCAGATCAGTCATGAAATAAGGCTGATCTGCTGAAAGCAGTAGAACCGCAAACGAGCATCAAAGTTTTGGCACTGTGCTCAGAGCCAGGAACCAAGGCTCAGTGGGTCACCAAGGAGCCAGAAGAACTTGGGGAGGGGGGGAGGGAGAAGAAGAGATAAAGGAACCCCTACCATGTCCTCACCAGCCAAATGGCATCCACTGCAAGAGCACAATCGGGGAACAGAGGCACGTAGCAGGGAAGCCGCCGTTTCAATGCTGATATGAAGAGGTCCATTTTGGGGTGACTTAACATCTCACAAAGCCAGCAGGAGGAAGTGCAGCTGATGGTCCACTCCAGAAAATAGGGATGGAAATGACAAGAGACCTTCTGCAAGAACAGTGGACACACACATACCTCATGTTAACTGTTTTGAGAACCAAATCCTGAGAACCCAGAAATTGAGTTGGATGCACTGAACCACTAGGAACCAGTCAAAATGGAGCCAAACAACATAGTCTGGAGGAAGATGAACCTCCAAAGGGCCTACCACTCCACAGCAAACTCGTGCACCATGCTGTGGACCCAGCCAATGACCGTGGGAAGCTTGGTGAGCACTGGAACAAAACTGCAACCCAACGCCAAAGCATCTGTGAACATATCGAGTGATGGGGAAGAAGGCACAATGGAACTGAACACAGAAAAGTGCAAAGAGGAGGTTGACAACGCAAGAGCCAACAAAGGGGGTCAAATATGGCACAAGCCCGACAGTCCCAGCAATGGTAAAACAAATGGAACTGTAAGAACCAGTAAAGTGTCTGGACCCAAACAATGACCAGTGGAAACACCATGCAGGCAAAGTGCAGGATTCCACACAACGACTTGACTAACTGCTGTGTTACTTGAGGCCAGTCCAACACCAGACAGCAATACCTGTACTGTCACAGGTGGAGCAAAGCCACTGGAGGCAGAGAAGAGAAGCTGACCGGGAAACCTAAACAGACCCAACCAGGTCCAAACCTGGGATCGAACCAACTGAGACTTTGGCCAGCCCAACAGGAGCCTGGCAAGCTAGGAAAGAACCAGAACCCTGGTGTGCTGACATGCAGATGGGGTGGAAGCTCAAACTAGCCAGCTGATGAGAAAGACCAAGACATGGACCCCCAAAAGAATCTCTGTTTCATCCCAAAACCTCAGGGAAATTGGAACCCCCAGGAATTAACCCCAAGGTCCAGAGACCACAATCAGAAACTGCTTCCAAAACCAGATAAACCCTAGTGAAGGAATGATGCAAAAGGTCAGCCAGAGAAGCAAGATGTACAGACCTGCGAGGGCAGGAATGTTCTGCATGCCTGCAGAGACCTGAAAGGGGACTGGGAATAACTGAGAACCCCACGAAAGACTGACAGAGAACTCGAAGAAGCCTAAAACCAACCACATCCTAACAAATACAGAGCCCAGGTGGAGGATCCACAACCCATCATTCTGAAACAAAAGGGAGGGGAGAACCCATGAAACAACACTGGAAAGCCCACAAACTGCTTGATTAGGAATGGCAAAATGAGCCATAAGTCCTCCCACAATACAGGGTAACTCTAAAGGGCCTTGGCAAAAATAAAATCTGAAATCCAGCATGAGGCTCAGAGCCCCTCCTCAAAAGTACCTAACCAAGGGGCTGGAAAGTAGCAGTTGCTGCTGAAAGGGCCAAAGAAATAACCTACACAGGAAAGAGAAAAGACACAAAAAGGGAAAAGGCAGACAAGAGGGTCAAAGAAAGCCAAACCCAGTACCTGAGTCAGCATGGTCTGCTGAAACGTGCGGTGAGTCAGGGAAAAACACAACTACTCATAGGAGGGGAGTGAGCAGCCTGCACAGAGCTATTGAAGCAAGAAGGGCAGGCAACAAGGCAGCTACACTTGGCACAGATGTCAGAACATCTAGGCTGCCATGGAGCTGGTCAGAGACCAACTCAACTGCCTAGATGTGCATAACTCCTGCCGAGTGAGCACAAGCCCTAAGATCCCGCATCCAGAGCAAAGGCAGCCAGACTCAAGAGTTGCCACCTACCCAAGTCCTTTGGGAGAACCAGAGCAAACAAGCAGCTCCCAGGCTCTGCAAGAGAGCACTACCAATGAACACCTGAAAGGCAAAAGCCACTACTGTCACTCTAGCATCCAGGCATGGCAAAAGTTAAGCCAGACCTCCAAATGAAAAAGAGAGGGCTGTCAGCAAACCAGGATGAATCAGGAACCTGGAAACAAAACCGGAAGGTAAAAGCCATCCCAAACCCAAAAGAGACTGGACTCATAAGGGAAGCAAGATTTTGAACCTGCAGGAGAAACTGAAAAAGGGCCTGCTCAAGTCAAAGTATGCCAGGATAATGGAAACCTCCAACAAAATAATGCATCTGTGACCTAATTGTTGGACCTAAGAAGCAGTAGGAGACAGCAAAACTGACTATCAGATTGCAGCAAAATTGATAGGTAATCCTCAAAGTCACAAGTAACGAGTGTGGGCTAGGTGGGTAGAATCATAACAAATCATACCAAAGACTCATGGGGGAACTGCAAGAGTCTGAAGAAATGTAACCAAGTGCACTAGGGATGCTCACTGGAAGAACTGACACTAAACACAACCTTAGGATATACTTGGCTATGAAGGGCAACAGAGGCATGCCATATCAACAAGCGTGCAAACCCCTAGCACACCTCACAACAATAAACCCTAAACGCCCCAACCCACATGGTCTCGCAGAGGTGTCAAAGACTTGTGCTACCCAGGGCAAAACGCTATTCAGCAGACTGGCCACTCAGAGGCAAACTCCCAAACTCACCAGAGAAAGCACTTTTAGAGCAGGAGCAATGCTAAACCTGCACTTAACACATTCAGCTCAAAGCAAAGAACAGACCAAGTCCATGCAACAAGTGAAGCCTGAAACAATTACTATGGGAACAATGCACAAGCAAATTACCCCCTACATGACACTGTCCAAAAGATGGTCTATACAGTACTTATCGTGAAAAGAAGTTGGACTCGCTACAGCCGGCGCCTCTGGGAGGTCTGTATTCACAGACATCAGCGGTAGATCTCAGGAAAAGATGGCCCAGAGGCTAGTTGCTCCCAGAGTGCTACCTGTTGGTGGTCTGTTGTAACTAAAAGGGTTCCAACTAGTTTCTGAGTGAATTGTTTGTGGACTTATTTGGCTGTCTCAACTTATTTGACTTTGTAGAGGGAGCCATCTCACCAAGATAGCTTCAGAAAACTACTGTTTGACGCCTCCAAATATGGCAAACTGGTCTATGGACTGGAAACCTTAGTTAAGTGGGACAAGTCTGGTCCAAATTAGTCCATCTGACCAATGTGCCACTGGATATATAAAGGTGCACTTCAGATGTCACACAGACCCCCAGAAGGAAACAATAATCTTGTTTAAACCATAAGGAATCCCTGTTAAGGATACCTAATAAAATTACTGTATTAATGATGCCTTGAATTGACTAAATTATACTGTATTGGCCTCTTACCTCATCTAGTTGCATCCATCGAGGGGCATACTCGTAAGCAGGAAGTTCAACCATTGATGATGGGTCCATTTTTCCTTGACCTCATATGATTAATATTAATCTGTTGAAAGTTACTTAATGTTAAAGTCTAGCAGTTAAAGACAAACCATAACAGAGCAGCAGAAATTGACAATCTGAGAAGCCTGGGATGATATTAAGAGAATCGACAAAATAAAAAAATGAAATTACTATGGAGAGATGGGGGAGTTAAAGAGTCAATAAACTACAAGAGTGAGGAGAAACATACCAAGATTTTTGGCATGTTCAACAAATGTTTAATGGTAGGCTGGTGAAGAAAATTTTTCATTTTCCACACAAAATATGGTATGGGACAAACATGGGTGGAATATTTTTGTTAGGAAGGAGTGATTATAATTGTATGGAATGAATGTGACAATTCATAAGGAAAACTGTGCTTCTCCAGTTTTATGAAGTGTTGGGGTACTGTATTTTATTACTGCAATCAGATACTTGTTGTATGGGGCATCTTTCTATGACTGATGGATGGGTTCTAATGCCTAGGTCCTTTTTCTTCATCAATCTGCTGCATGGTAATGTTGTTGATTTGAAATTGGTGATGTGCAATGATATGTTCTGACCTTTTGTTGAAAACTTACAAATATTTTTGTAATATTGAAAACTGCAAGACCTTATATGAGGGGCATAATAATAAACATCACAACTATCAAATAAACAACATTATCCGTTTTGCAGTTATGAAGTTTGCTTTTGGTATAGTTTTCTGTGTAATAACTGCAGTAATGATTATCAATGTCAGTTTGCATACAAGAAGAATGGAGAAGATTAGTTGAGGATATAGAAATTAGAATATGGTATGAGGAAATTATATGGCAGAGTATAGTGTTATGGTTTCATTTACCATCTATATGGGCAAAACAGAACAAGGGGTAAAAATTGGATAATTAGATAATCTAAAGTGTAAAATACCAAAATATGGAGTTAGATATAATGATATACAGTACTTACACACAAAACCTAATTAATAGTACAGTAATATTAGAACAATAAAATATTGTACAAGAACATAAAACTGTAACTAGTACTGTATTACTGAGCAAATATACAAGTAAAAATTGAGCAGACAGAAGCAGAGGCACCTAACTGCTGCCCAAACTGGAATCATCTATTCCTCTATTATGGTTAGCTTGGTAGTTTAGTTGATAGAGCAGCTGTCTCCTGTGCTGGGGTCAAGTGTTCAAGGCTCCTAGTATCCAGGGAAATGAAATGTCCAGGGTATTGAAATGAAATGTCCAATATCCACAGTATATACAGTACTGACCTTTCCCAGGATGTAACCCACAACTGCCTATGTCTCGGGTACCTATTAACTGTAAGGTATATAGAGGCATCAGGTGTGAAATGTGCAAAAATGTCTTGCCCTGTCCGGGAACAAAGCTTTGAGGATTATTCTTGGGTGATCTTGCATCACAAAGATACTTAGTATGTGAAAGGAACTATATATTCCGAATGTCATTGATCGTGTCACAGAAATTAACTCAAAATGGTATAAAAATGCTTAGGAAAAGTCATCCTAACCCTTGCACAGAAGCCCTCCAGAATTTCTTTATTGAAGGTAAACACAACTAAAAATGGATAACTACCTTACCTTGAGATGATTTCGGGGTTTAGTGACCCCACGGCCCAGTCCTCGACCAGGCCTCCTCATTGCTGGACTGGTCAACTAAGCTGTTGGACACGGCTGCTTATTTATTTATTTATTTTATTTATTTATTTATGCATATACAAGAATGTACATAAGGAATGTGAGGATACAAATATGGTAATTACAGTCTTGTAAAGCCACTAGCACGCGCAGCGTTTCGGGCAGGTCCTTAATCTAAGAAAATTTTAAGGAGGTAAATACTTGCAAAATTATAGACAAAAAATGATAACAGATTACATGAAATGAAAAAAAAAGATGAGAGAAAATTGTAGGTACAGTATATTAAAGCACATAGGTAGCTAAGATTGATTGCAATGACAGCTTGAATGGTAGTTGACAAAAAAATTGGTAGGCATAATACAGCAGAAACAATATAAGATTGGTTGCAATGACAGCTTGAATGGTAGTTGACAAAAATTGGTAGTCACAATACAGCATATGGCTAGCACATAAAAGAAGACAGCAATGAACACAATGATAAGGTTGTTTGAAATTACATAAAAATTAGGAGATTGGGTAACACTAGGTACAGAGCAAATTTAAAGCTCAGTGTAGGAAACTAAGAAGATGAAGTTAGGTACTTTTTGGTTTTGCTTTTAAATAAGGCAAAAGTTTTACAGCTTTTCAATTCACTAGGGAGTGAGTTCCATAAACTAGGTCCCTTAATTTGCATAGAGTGTTTACACAGATTAAGTTTGACCCTGGGGATATCAAAGAGATATTTATTTATGGTGTGGTGATAATGGGTCCTATTACATCTGTCCAGGGAGAGTTTCAGAGCATGGTTTGCATTTAAGAACAGGGTTTTGTAAATGTAGTTGACACAAGAGAATGTGTGGAGGGAGTTAATATTTAGCAAGTTTAGGGATTTAAACAAGGGAGCTGAGTGTTGTCTGAAAGCTGAGTTAGTTATCATTCTGATAGCAGATTTTTGCTGTGTGATGATGGGCTTAAGGTGGTTTGCAGTGGTAGACCCCCATGCACAGATACCATAATTAAGATAGGGGTAAATTAGTGCATAATATAGTGAGAGGAGAGCAGAGTTAGGAACATAATATCTGATTTTGGAGAGTATACCAACTGTCTTAGAGACTTTCTTAGTTATGTGTTGAATGTGGGTGCTGAAGTTGAGTCTCTTGTCTAGGAATAGGCCAAGAAACTTGCCATCATCTTTATTACTGATGTTAATGTTGTCTATCTGTAGCTGAATTGCATTTGATGATTTGCTTCCAAATAAGATGTAGTAAGTCTTTTCGATGTTTAATGTTAGTTTGTTCGTTGACATCCATAAGTGGACTTTTTTTAATTCATTATTCACAACATTATTTAGTGTATGTGGGTTGAGGTTTGAATAGATAAGAGTAGTATCGTCAGCAAACAGTATAGGTTTGAGAATATTAGAGACATTAGGCAGATCGTTTATATATATAAGAAATAGAAGAGGTCCTAAGATGCTGCCCTGTGGCACTCCAACGGTAATTGGTAGAGTGGACGAAGTTGTATCATTGATGGTTACATATTGGTGTCTGTCACTAAGATAGGATCGGATGTAGTCAAGGGCAAGGCCTCGGATTCCATAATGCTGGAGTTTAAGTAAGAGGTAGTTGTGATTAACAGTATCAAAGGCTTTTCTTAGGTCAATGAAGAGTCCAATCGGAAACTCATTTTTGTCAAGGGCTGAGTAGATAACGTCAAGGAGACTAATGATTGCATCGTTGGTGCTCTTTTGGGACCGGAAGCCAAACTGGCAGGGGCTTACAGGCTGACATGTGAGTCACAGCCTGGTTGATCAGTTATCCTTTGGAGGTGCTTATAAGTTCTTTCTTGAACACTGAGTGGTTGGCCAGTTATGCCCCTTATGTGTGGTAGAAGCGTGTTGATCAGTCTCGGGCCTCTGATATTGAGAGTTCTCTCTCAGAGTACTTATTGCACCTCTGCTTTTCAATGGGAGTATTCTGCACATTCTGCCATTCTAAACTCATCTGCAACTCATCCTCCGAACTCATTTTGCACTCATCCTGTGAACTCATTCTGCAGCCATCCTGCAAACTAAAACTGGAACTAAACTCAGATTGCATCAGATTTATAATTTGTACCAAGAGAAACAACAGAGGCACTTTTCTGCACCATGGGAGATTACCCTCTTTCCAATTTTAATCCCTCCCCTTCCACCCAAGAAGCAAATTAATGATCAGCCCAAAACTTTGTCTTGAGGCAAAGCATAATGCCTTAAGCCATATTGATACTCTGGGTACAGAGCATTCTCTTTCTCAAAGCCATATACACTGCTGGTTTCCTACACTGCCCCACGGGTGCAGCTGGAAGTGAAGTTGTCCTAATAATGGGTGATGGCTTGTATTGAGTGGGGAGTCTGTATAAACTACTGGGCCTCTACCCTTCAACTGCAGTACAGTATTTGCCTTACTTCTTGCACTGCAATGTGTACAAGTCTCCAAACTTGATACATTAATTGTAAGTGACTCTTTATCATCTTTAATTATGCTCAACTCTTAAGACATAATTGTAACATATATTTATTTATTTATTTATATACAAGAAGGTACATTGGGTTTGTGTGGATACATAGCATAGTGATTACATTCTTGTAAAGCCACTAGTACGCGCAGCATTTTGGGCAGGTCCTTAATCTTACAGATAATTTTAAATAGATAAATTCTAGCAAAATTTTTAAAATGATAACAGGTACATTGCAAGAAAAAAATGAGATGAGAGAGACTTGTAGGTATATTAAAGCACATAGGTAGCTCAGACTGATTGCATTGACAACTTGAATGGTAATTTAACAAAGATTAATAGGCACAATACAGTATATTGCTAGCACATGTAAGAAGACAGCAATGATCACAATGGTAAAGTTGTTTGGATTAGGTACATAAAGATTGAGAGATTGGGTAACACTAGATACAGAGCAATTTTAAAGCACAGAGTAGGAAACTATGAAAATGAAATTAGGTACTTTTTGTTTTTGTTTTTGAATGAGACAAAAGTTGGACAGCTTTTCAATTCATTAGGGAGTGAGTTCCATAGACTAGGTCCCTTTATTTGCATAGAGTGTTTACACAGATGAAGTTTGACTGGGGATATCAAAGAGATATCTGCCCGAAACGCTTTGCGTAATAGTGGCTTTAGGCATTGTATGTACTAGCTATACCTATAAGTTAAACAATCCTTGTAAATATTTATTGTATGTATGTACCTTACCTAAATAAAATTGTATTGTATTGTATTGTTGAGATATTTATTTCTGGTGTGGTGATAATGGGTCCTATTACATCTGTCCAGGGAGAGTTTCAGAACATGGTTTGCATTTAAGAACAGGGTTTTGTAAATGTAGTTGACACAAGAGAATGTGTGGAGTGAGTTTATGTTTAGCATGTTTAGGGATTTAAACAAGGGGGCTAACATGCTAATTACTGTCTAGCTTCATACACTGATATATCTACTGGTGTATGAAGCTAGATACAAATACAACAAATTTATTAATGATGGTAACTGAGTCCATTTCATGTTAGCCTCTGAATGCATGATAGAGCTGATGAGAATCTGCCTTCAAAGGAGGAGTTGATTATAACCTTGGATTGCCTATAAGCAGTCTGAGAGCAATAATACATTAAAACCAACAAAACCTTGTAGATCTGAGGAAAAGTGAAATCAACACCAGTAATTCCATCTATCATCAAACTATCATCCAAGAAGAGCACATCTATGGATCATCCAATAAAATCAGCAGACTCCTAGATGTTACTACTGCTCGGCTTTGACTTGGCTATAAGTATCAGGGAATTTTCATTATCTGCCTGACCAGATGTAAACTGTCAACTAAATTATTAAATAATAATAATAATTCGTACACCCTCCTTCACTATGTGATGGAGTGTGAAAAAGATACGTGAATTTAGAAACAATTTTATAACAAATGTTCAAGAGATGTGTAAATATTTAATTCAAAATGATCTGCTGCCAGAAGTCTTGGCCAAATATCACCAGTTTGCTAACTGTAGGCAGTAACTAAGTGATTGTAACCTATCCACCGCTGCCCACTGGATGGGGGCGGTGTACAGGATAAACATCAATTGTGACACTAGCTCTCCACATATCGCCGTAGTCCCGGTAGTACAATTGGGTTTGTTCTCGATGCACAAACGAGAATCCCGGCCAGAACAGAAATGGTTGGGCACATTTTCTTTCACCTAATGCTCCTGTTCACCTAGCAGCAAATAGGTACTCAGGTGTTAGTCAGCTTGTCTTGGGGTTGCATCCTGGGTGGGGTCAGTAATTCGACCCTGATGGGGGGACAGTGACGAAAACCTAACATATATGAATACTGTACACTGTCTTCTTGTCTCCTGGCACATTGAATTAAATGTAAGTTGTCTCAGCCTTCATGGGCCTGACGGCTTAGTGGACAGTGCTCTGGGTTCATAGTCCTAAGGGTCCGAGTTTGATTCCTAGCAGAGACACAAACAAATGGGCAGTTTCTTTCACCCTGATGCCCCTGTCCATCTAGCAATAAATAGGTACCTGGGAGTTGAACAGCTGTTATGTACTGCTTCCTGGTGTGCATAAATTATAATTAAATTAGGAGTATAGGGTGCATAATAAATTAACTAAATTAACCTGCCCGGGTCCATTAGATTGTTTAGTAACTTTGCTGTTATAACAATAATAAATAAATAAATATTTATTCAGGGAAAACTACATACATAGTTGATTTACAAACATAATGTTGGATTTATAGATAGAGCTAGTACATACAATACCTAAAGCCACTAATACAAAACAAAAGCAAATACAAATATTTATTCAGGTAAAGTACATACATACAAGGTGAGATAAAAAAAAGTTGATGGATTTATAGATAGGGCTAGTACATACAATGCCTAAAGCCACTATTACGCAAAGCATTTCGGGCAGGAAAAACACTAAGACTAAAACTTAATACTAATCGAGATTAAAGTATAAATTGTGTTGAGAAAAAAAATAAAAAAAATGAAAAAGGGGGGGAAACATGGCAGAAAAAATAGCAAAAATACAATTTGGTCAACAAACAGCATTGTTTAAAATAGTAGACATGGGTTGACATTTTGGGGGTGAGGTAGGTTACATGGAGTTAATTAGGTAGTGCTTAGTTTTTATCTTAAACTGGTTGAGAGAGGTACAGTCTTTAACATGGTTGGGAAGGTCATTCCATATTCTAGGTCCCTTGATTTTAAAAGCATTTCTAGTTTGATTAAGTCGTACTCTTGGAATATCAAATAGGTATTTGTTTCTGGTGTGGTGCTCATGGGATCTGTTACAACCTTCTAGGAAGCTTTTAAGGTCAGGATTGACATTACAGTTCAGCATTTTATATATATAAAATACACATGAGAGGATGTGCAGTGACGTAATATCTAACATATTCAGAGATTTGAGTAGGGGTACCGAGTGATGTCTGGGGCCAGAGCTAGATATTGTCCTAATAGCAGCTTTGTGTTGAGTAATTAGAGGACGGTAAATTATTTTGGGTAGTAGAACCCCAAGCACAAATACCATAGTTGAGATAAGGATAGATGAGAGAGTAATAGTGTGTCACCAGGGCAGGGCGAGGTACATAATATCTGATCTTAGAAAGAACGCCAACAGTTTTTGAAACTTTTTTGATATATTTAGAATGTGTCCCTGGAAATTCAGCTTGCGGTCAATGAGAACGCCAAGGAATTTGCCATCTACTTTGTTACAAATTTGGGTATTGTTTATCCTGAGATTTATTTGATTTGAGGATTTATTGCCAAACAAAATACTGTATAGAAAGTTTCGTCAATATTGAGGGTGAGTTTGTTGGCAGTTAGCCAGTGATGGACTTTATTTAGCTCAGTATTCACTGTGACATTTAGAGCAAGGGGGTCAGGACTGGAGTAAATGAAGGTTGTGTCGTCAGGAAATAGAATTGGTTTGAGAAGTTGGGAGGCATTTGGAAGGTCATTAATGTAGATGAGCGAGGAGAGGGCCAAGTATGCTGCCCTTTGGAACACCAATGTTGATGGGTAAGGTGGGAGAAATGGAATTATTCACAGAAACATACTGGAGCCTGTCAGTAAGGTAAGACTTAAGGTATTGCAGGGAGTGTCCTCTGACTCCAAAATGTTGTAATTTAAGAAGAAGGTTTTGGTGGTTGACAGTGTCAAAAGCCTTACGCAGGTCCACAAATAACCCAACAGGGATCTCATTTTTATCAAGAGCTGCGTGTATCAAGTTAATCATACTAATAAGTGCATCATTAGTGCTTTTTTTGGGTCTGAAGCCATATTGGCAAGAGCTAAGTATATTGTGTTTGGCTAGATAAGAGTAAAGCTGCTTGTAGATTAGTTTTTCAAATATTTTTGACAAGTTTGGCAGAATTGATATAGGTCTGTAAGTGTTAACATCAGTGAGATCACCACATTTATGGACTGGGGTTAATTTCACTTTTTTTAGAATATCTTAAATATTTAGTATTTAGTCGTTCACAAGGATGTAGGGTTATATTATATATTTGCTAATTTGTTTGCTGTTTGGTGTTGACCAACTTGTACAATTGCTAATTTCTGCCATGTTCCCTCCCTCTTTTTATTATTCCTTTTTTTCAACACAATTTACACTTTAATTTCAATTACTGTTAACTTTTAGTCTAAGTGGTTTTTTTCTCCCACACCTTGCCTAAAACACTATGCATATTAGTGGCTTTAGGTATCGTATGTACTAGCTCTATCAATAAATCCAACATTATGTTTGTAATTCATCATCTATGTATGTACTTTTACCTGAATAAAAATTTGAATTTGAATATGTGTGCTTGCAACAAGACCTAAATATTGCAAATTTCTGCTTCCATAATGAACATGGGGACCTTTGACAAGTCGGCGGCTTCCTGTCCTCGTAGAGGCCACTAGGGTTAGTGGCCCTCAGGTAAATCAGGCATGTCCTATGCTGGTGGGGACCCCCCCCCCTGGCAAGTGCCCATTGGGTCCATGCTGTAAGACTTCTCTCTTGTTGTGGGAGTGTATCCTAGGTGGGGTCAGTAATTCGACCTTGAGAGGGGGAGGGACCTCAATATAAGCCTAACGTGTATGAATACACTCTGGCTGCCTGTCCCCCCGACACAATAAATTATTATTATGGGCTCCCCCAACAGCTGCAGCCACCTGCCATAATTATCAATATATTTACCTGATCCCAGCCTAATTCTGGCAATTACAGTGTCACGCTGTCTAGCTGGAGTTTAGTGCTGTCCGTATATATTATTTTAAACATCATATATGTATTGCTACTGGTAGTTTGTGGCAAGATAAGAGGCAGTAAGAGGCAGGAGGTGCGCTTGGTGGTCGTCACATGAGCGGCGCGGCGGCCCACCAATCACACGTGCTCCTCCGCCTCACTATTGACAACGTTTGTGGCAGCGTCACAGACACCAGCCTCGATTTTTGTGTTTTTGAAGGGGATTTCTTCGCTCCGCAACTTTCAAGATGTCGTACGCTCCCAAGTCTAAAGTGCAGAAGGTTATGGTGCTGCCCATTGTATCCTTTTGATAAGATAATTTTTATATATTTGTAATTTTGTTGTTGGCGCCAATGCAAGACTGGCTTGCTACCGGCGGCGTTGTGTTGACTCCTTGTTCTGAGGGTGTTTGAATGTCTTGTGAACTACGAAAGTACTCATAAACACAGATGTCATCACCAGAACACTACTGGTGTTAATATTTATTTGTTAATATGTTATAATTTTTAGAGGAGACAGGACGAGTCGTCTTCCATCTAACCACACTCATAAGAACGAACTAGGTTATGTTTATCTAGGGCAAGGGTATTGGTAAGGTGTAATACTAGTGAAATAATGTCATGCAATGAAGCTCTCCATTTCTTACAAAAGCTGATGAATAAAGGTGTAACAATTTAACAGTCCGTGGTGTAGTGGTAAGACACTCGCCTGGCGTTCCGCGAGCGCTATGTCATGGGTTCGTATCCTGGCCAGGGAGGATTTACTGGGCGCAATTCCTTAACTGTAGTCTCTGTTTAACGCAACAGTAAAATGTGTACTTGGATGAAAAAACGATTCTTCGCGGTGGGGATCGTATTCCAGGGACCTACCCGAAACGCTACGCGTACTAGTGGCTGTACAAGAATGTAACAACTTTTGTATATATCTCAAAAAAAAAAAAATTACCAAGGGTCTGACGGCAAAGTGGACCTAAGGTTCCGGGTTCAATCCCCGACGGAGGCGGAAACAAGTGGGCAGTTTTTTTCACCCTGATGCCCCTGTTCACTTAACAGTAAATAGGTATCTAGGAGTTAGGCCTAGTTCCTGCCCCGAAGCGCTGCACGTACTAGTGACTTTTCAAGATTGTAAATACCATGCTATATATTCTCAATATATAATATAATAACCCAATATAACCTGTATATAAATAAATAAATAGCTGCTTCCTAGGGGTGTGTAGCAAAATGGATGCCTGGTTGAGGACTGGGCCGCGGGGATGCTAAGCCCCGAAGTCATCTCAAGTGAACAAATCCGCAAGGGCCGTGACATGGGTTCGAACCTACATCCGAGAGGATCCCAGACGCTGCCTTATGAGCTATGAAATGGAAAGGAATTGCAACTGGGAAATCATCCTGACCTACCACAGATCCTGCAGTCTCTTGAGACACAAACCAGGGTTTTACACAATTGCCCCATGCACTCGAGATCTGTCAATAAGCTGTTCTACCTCTTTGCCCTTACTTCATTACACACAGAAATTACAATAGCGTGATGTGTAAAATCCTGATTTGTGTCTCGGAGAGACTGCAGGATCTGTGGTAGGTCAGGATGATTTCCTGGTTGCAATTTTTTTCCATGTCACTCAGTTGATTAAGGCAGCATCTGGGATCTTCTCGGGCGTAGGTTCGAACCCTCGTCATGGTCCTTGAGGATTTGTTCATTTGATGCATAACACTATTGTGATTTCTGTGTAATAACTTAAAGGGCTACTCGTGGGTTAAATTATTCTCATTTTCCAGTATTTTTCAAGTGGTTGATGTTGAAATGATTCTGATATTGTATACCTTGCTTCAGAAAATCCTTCGATTTTGTTTCTCATGAAAGACTTGTTAGAAATGTTGCAGCATGGTATTTGTGGGGGGATAATCCTGAGTTAGATTAGGCCATGTTTATTTCAAAGTAAATGGGGTTAGCAAAAATGAGTTAGACTGACTGGGAAATCGTTGCAAGCAATATGCTTTGGGGTTCCTGTACTGGGCAGTAGTATCCTGAAAGGTCCACAGAAAACTATGACATTAGTAAATTAAAAAATGGCAATTTCTGTATTTTCTTTGCTAGAATAGGTTTATTTTAAGAGTACCTTTGCTTTAACTTTTGCCCCTTTTTTTTAAACCACTCATCCTAGTGCCTCTTATGCTATATGTATGTAAATTATTTACACAAATAGCAACTTTTGCAGATAAAAATAGGATGGAAAATATAAAAATGGCTACAAGATTTAAATTTACTTTAAATTGGATGAAAGATTGGGAGATGCAGTTTCATACAGAGATTGGGAGATGTAGTTTCATACAGAAAAATGTTAGTTCTGAGCCTTCAGAATTAACATTTGTTTATAGATATCAGCTGGACAGTATTGATGCTAGATTTAAATGCAAATAACTAGTGGGGGGGACATGAGGCCCTAATAATTATATAAATTAAAAAAAAGGTAAACGGGATACTGGGATTTATATCTAGAAGTACTATATTAATAATAAGACATTAATATTTTTTTAAGCTTTAACTTGCCCTAGGTATGCAGTTAAATTTTTCACTTGAATGTACTTAAATTCACTTAACATGTTCAGTGTGTGATGGCAGTTAATCCCAGGAATTAAAAACCCCATTTATGAAGAGAAAATAAGACCGTAATTTACATTTTTGAAAAGGAAAAATGTAAAGGGTGATGTGATTTAAGCATACTTATAAGTAGTTGATCGGGTATCCTTTGAGGGTGTTTTATAAAGTTCTCTTGAACACAATAAGCTAGTTATACCCATTATGTTCAGAGGGTGTCTTGGGCCCTTAACCCTTACGTTGCACTAAACTTCATATGAAGTGGAACATTTAGCTCAGTTTTTAAAAATTTGCTGAAACTTTCAAATATTTTGTGCATAATCTACTAAGCAAATGCTCCAACTTTGTCTAAATGATACCAGCGTAACTTGAAAAACAAGAAAATATAAAAAATTATAAAATTGAATATTAAAATCTTAAGATTTTGAAATCGGCTGCAAAAATATAAAATATCACCAGTTGTTCATTTGGTGTTATTATGCTCTCAGAATAGCATATGATCTTCATTTTCATATATTTAGAATATAGGTTTTCAGTATAGTTTACTGTAAAAAAAATTCTCATTTGAAATACAGTATGCTCAAATTTAGACAACAAAAATTTATAACTCCAAATGTTTAGAGTTTATGAAAAATCAATTCTATAGGGATTGTAGAACAGCCAGCCATGCACACTATATGTAAAAATGGTGAGAATTGGTCAGTAGCTAGATTTTTGGATACTGAAGTAAATTGAAGTTCTAGTTATAGATATAAGTGAAGTTGAAGTTTTCGACAATGAATAAGGCCGTTCTAATTCATGAATTTGCTTGTATGTTTTAATAAACATTGTTTGGCATTCGTACTTGAATATGTTAAAGTTGTAGGTCATGTGTTGAAATGGTCGAGAAAAATACCCCCCCCCCCCTCCCCCCAAAAAAATATAGGTATAATTATAATAAATTAGGGGATATATTTAGGGTATACTTTATATAAGTAAAAAAAAAAGTCCTAATCTGGTCCCTAATCATCAAAACAACCTAAAGGAACAAGGAAAATAGTTTAAAAACTGAAAAAATCAGTCAAAAGAAATTCAAAGTCCCAAGTTCTGAGAGTTGACTGACATTTCTTGACCAATTTAATTCTGTCTTCACATAGTTAGGGATGGGTATGCACTCTCCAGGATGCAGAGGTTACAACAAATTCAAATAATAAACAGGAGCAAAAAAACTAAAACTTGCATCTCTTTATTATTGAATTATCCATCAGTTCCAGTTAGTAAGAGCTGTTCTCCATATCAACAAAACATTCTTTTTTTAAATATTCATCTAAAATCAATTTCTAAAAATATTTTGATGAAAGTTTCATGATGCTGAAGCCGATAAGCTGGAGATTTGTTTAACATTTTTAAGTAATTTTTACATAATTTGAATATTTTTCGCTTCCCTGATCCCTTATGCTGAGCAGTTTAAGGGTTAATATCAATTGAATTCTCTTAGCATACCTACTGCATCTCTGCTTTTCAACAAATTATGCACTTCCTGCTATGCCTTCTGGTCTCATTAGGTATTTCCATGTGCAGATTTGGAACCAGTCCCTTCTTAATATTTTCAAAGCGAACAATACAATTTTACATATCGCTAGTGGCTTTGGGGAGTAAAAGATCAATGCACATTCTCAGCAATTTCTTCAGCTTTGAATGGGGCTGTTAGCATACAATAATATTCCACCCTAGAGAGAGCATTGGCATCTTAAAATGTATTGTTGGTCTGGCATCTCTTATTTGCTATATACTGTGTTCTATCTTTTTGCTGTTTTATCATGCTTAGACTACATATTATTATGGGGAAGCAATTCATTAATGATGTAATGTATTTGGACTTTGTGTATCAAAGTTATTGCAAAAAAACAGGGCATTCTCAGAGTTCCTGACTCAGAAGATAAATGAAGGCGAGAGGCAGTGTTAATCAGTGTTTCATGAGTGCTAATAGCCTTCTATACCTTCACTTTGGATAATTACTTGAACATTTCATGTTCTGCATTGTTAAAAATATGATATCCAAGATTTTTCCTTAACCTGGTCTTCAGAATCTTATCTTTAGGTACCTGCAGTCCCGTGCCCGTGTACAGGTGTGGCTTTATGAAAACCAGAACTTACGTATTGAAGGTCACATAATTGGTTTTGACGAGTACATGAATGTTATGCTGGACCAGGCTGAAGAAGTACACATGAAGAAAGGTACTAGGAAGACTATTGGTAAGTTAAAAGCACCCTTCTGTAATAGTAAATGACATTTGATAGTTTAAAAATGCTATCTTTAACAGTGGTGTTAACTGTTGACTAGAGTTCAACTCCCTCAGCCTAGCCTGTGGCTAGCCTTTCTTAGTGATTTCTGGTACAGTGTGACAACTTGTCTTCATAGACAAAAGACTGTTTTCAATACATTATACAACCCATTATTAGTCAGTTTTTATTTGTAATTAACTATATTGGTGGTTTGGTACTGTTATTAATGCAAAAAAAAATTCTAGTCAACATATCGAATTAGCACACATGCCACTAAATAAACTACATTAATGTACAGTGCATTAAAAGTTTAAAGACCCTTAAAAAAGCATTAAAGAAAGTTTAAAAAGTTTTGAATCACCCTCAAAATCTGGATTATATACTGGATCCAAGATCAGATTTTTTATAAATCTCCTTTTTTTATATTTATATATTCGTTTGCCTTGTTCGGGTTGAATGTAGACACAGTAGTCGCTTCTGTATATATTTATTGACCGAGACAACAAGGTATATATCTGGCCAACCGAGGTCCACCTTACTCTGGGTCTGAGAGAGAACGGAAGCTGCTGGGAGCATGGCTTGATGCTCCTCTGTCTGGCATGACGTCAGAGGCCTACTTGCCTGTGATTGGTTACATTTCAACTGACAGAATTTGAGTATAACATATAACCAAATTATCTGGAATTTTCTTACAGGTGATATGTGCTTAGAAGTTATTTATTATATTTAGGAATAGTGCATAATGATTTTGTGTACATATAAATAATAATAGAGTAAAACAAAGACAAATAATATGTAATGGTTTAACCCCTGGGCTTCTCTTGCCATTATAGCCTACAACACGCCCAGTCGCAAGAAATATATAACAAAAAATGTCTTATAAAAGTATTCATTTGTGTTCCCTGATCACGGGGGAAAAAAATTGTAGGTGGCATATTTTGTCACAATAGGGCGGGGAAGTCTGGCAAAATTGAGGCGTTGACAGCAAGCATTGGAGGAGGTCTCTTCCGCTTGAGCTGTTAGGCGGGAGTTGCCACAGATATTTTTACCTAATTACAGTATTATTATTATTATTATATATAATATATATATATACCTGTAATATATATAATAAAAAAAAAATTGCCAGTATTATTATTCAATAGTGTGTAGTGTGATGTACAGATTTATATAATCAAGATGTGTAAGCAAACTGTACAACTAAGCTGGTATGGTGAGTCAAAACAATACAGTACTGTCTTAAGGTTGCCACACAGTCAGCTGACGCTCCCTCCCTCACTCGCCAATATTCCTACTGCCACTGTACTGTTTGTGCTGTATTTAAACTATATACATACATTATTTATAGGTACAGTATCTCAATGTTTTATTCGCCATAACTGTACAACTAAGCTGGTATGGTGTTCAAACAGTGGCCACAACAAAATTGCATGACAAGTGACGCAGCAGCCAGCAGACGATGCCATCTCCCTTACCAAAATGGCTCCTCTCAACATGCTCCTTTTGTTGTTATTTCACTATTTACACACATTATATATAAGTATCTACATTTGTGTTCACTCTACCAAACCACTAAGCTGGTATGGTGAATGCAGACAATAACAGGTTCCAGACAATGCTACCTCCAGCATTACTCCTCCCACTATACTACGCACAGCACTAATTATCACATCAATCCTGCTATTATCAGAATCCTGGTCATTTTTATCACAGTTAGGGTCTTCTGTAATACGTACCATCGTTAAATAATACCAGTTACATATATATTTGGCCATTTTTAGGGGATGCTGTGGTCACCAGCTGAACAGCAGTGCTTTTAGCTCGTGCTGCGTGCACCAGCCTTGGTTGCTCACTCGGTTCTGAGGCTCTCACCCAGGAATGTTGCCCACGATTTTTTTTAAATGGCGTCTGTTTACAAGAGCCCTGAACAAGCTGATGTGAACAGGAGGGGGGCCTGACAGCTGAGTGGACAGCACTTCGGACTCATAGTCCTGAGGTTCCGGGTTCGATCCCCGAGGGAGGCGGAAACAAAATGGGCAGTTTTTCACCCTGATGCCCCTGTTACGTAGCACTAAATAGGTACCTGGGAATTAGCTGCTATGGGCTGCTTTCTGGGAATGTGTAACAAAAAGGAGGCCTGGTCGAGGACCGGGCCGTGGGGATGCTAACTCCCAAAATCACATCAAGATAACCTCAAAATTGCTGCTGGACTTTTAAACCTTGCATGGTACTACCAAACATACATAGCTTTGGTGCGCAGTTCCACGACAGTTACTCGCCCCAGCTATATCTGTATTATGCAGTTTAACCCTTAACTGTGCATGGCGTATATACTGGTATACGCCACGAATAATATGTCCCACCGTGCGCATGGCGTATATATACGCCATAGGGTGTCAAGCACGATTCAAATGGTCCACGGCTACATGGGGTTCACATCAGCTTCCTCGGGGCTCTTATAAACAGATGCCATATTTAAAAAAAAAATCATGGGCCATATTCTCCGGTGTGAGAGCCACAGTATTGTGGGAGCAACCAAGGCTAGCGCTCGCAGGGTGAGCTAACAGCATTGCTGTTCAGCTTGTGACCACAGCATCCCCTAAAAATGTCAAAATAAATATGTAACTGCTATTATATAGTGATGACAGTATTACAAATGACCAGGATTGTGATAATAGCAGGATTGTTGTGATAATTAGCACTGTGTGGTAGGAGTGATGAGGGGGGGGAGATAGTGTCGTTTACTGACTGTATGGCCACCTGTTATTGTCTGCATTCACCATACCAGCTCAGTGGTTCTCTATGGTGAACACAAATGTAGGTACTTATATATAATGTGTGTATTAGTGTAATAACAGCAAAAGGATCATGTTGGGAGGAGCCATTTGGGTGACGGAGGTGGCGTCGTCTGCATGACTTGATTAGCTGTGTAGAGGGTGGCCACTAGGCTCTTTGGGCACCCTACAAGCTTAGGTGTACAGTTATGGTGCATACAACATGTAGATATTTATATATAATGTGTGTATATAGTGTAATAACACCACAAACAATATTGTTTGGGGGAGAAATTTTAGTGTGCCTGACCTTGAATGAATGAGGGAGGGAGGCAGCCACCAGTTGACTGTGTATGTTGCGATGTCTCTTAGTGCCTGAACTAACTATATCAGCTTAGTTGTACAGTTGTGGTAAACAAAACATGTAGATACTTATATATAATGTGTGTATATAGTGTACAGCAAAACTATTTGTTTGTTTTATGAACGTAATAATTGAATCGCTAATATGAACACTTCAGCAATAATTAATTCATACATACTGTATGCAGAAGATAAGCACATGGGTCATACAGAACAACATGTGGTTGCAGAAAAACCTGGAATGAAAATATGGTTGCATATTTGGTTGACTTTGTGATATGGTACAAAAGTTTTGGGTGATATGGTGTACAATGTTTTTATACCCATTGGTTCGTGTTCTATCATGTGCAAATGTCAATCACCTCACCCAAAACTTTTGTACCATATCACCTCACCCAAAACTTTTGTACCATATCACCTCACCCAAAGCGAGTATAAGTATGGATGTATTTTGTTTGTTTACAGGTTACAATTGTGTGTGTAAACTAAAGTCTAAGTCTTTGAAAATGTTATAACATAGATATATATATTAGTAGCAGTCTTTTTTGTAAACATATGTTTTTGAATATGACCAAAAGGGTAAGATTAATAATTCTAACGTGAATCTTCTCAATATTTCTTGTGTTTTCTACACTATCGTGGGTAATTGAAAAATTAACTCAAAATTTCATTTTTTGCATTATTTTTGGTCTGACGCCTAAAAGTGTTTCATAAGGGCTTCTTACATTATCAAAGAATGTAAGAAGCCCTTACGAAACGCTTTAAGGCGTCAGACCAAAATTAAAAATGTAAAATTGAATTTTGGAGTTAATTTTTCAATTACCCTCGACAGTGAAGAAAAATGTAAGAAATAGAGTAGATTTGTGTTAGAATTAGTGATGTTTTACAACTTTAGAACACTTTCCCACCAGGAGACTCGAACCCTAGCCAGCACAGAAGCCTCACAGCAACTGGCATAACAGGTATGCCTTTAACACACTACACCAAACTCAGACCCTTAAATGAGATGGTAACAGGGACTTGATGAAAGAACGTGAGTGACTTCTCACTAGCTCTAGTTGCCCTTGGGAGGTGGTGATCTTTGGGGGGATTAAATAACCCAAAATTACCATCTCTTTTAAGGGTCTTGAGTTTGGTGTAGTGGGTTAAAGGCATACCTGTTATGCCAGTTGCTGTAAGGCTTCTGTGCTGGCTAGGATTCGAGTCTCATGGGAAAGTGTTCTAAAATTTTATATCTAGGATACTGTTACATTTTACAGCAGTAATTATATTTTTTTTGTATTTCCAAAACTTTATTACATGTAGTTACAATTGTAATTGAGCATGTGAATTATGTTCAGAAACAAAATCACCATTGTATACCGTAGCAGTTTAACATGTATATAATATCCTATTTGTATTTCAGGTCGCATTCTGTTGAAGGGTGATAATATCACTTTAATCCAAAACACTCAACCAGATGGTACAAACATGTAGTTATGTAGTCGCCATCTGTGGTTCCTCGACTGTCGGACAAGCAGTTATCCGAGCACCAGTCAGGAGGCAGTTCTACAATAAGGCATTGAATGTATTTGAATGGAGTACAAGTATCTTTGGATTTGCACTAATTTTTCCATAATTATCCATATAGTCATTTATTAAATGTATTTTGCCTAGAATTTTATGAAAATTTAAGTTTGAATTTAAATTTAACTTTATTTTGGCAACAGTGGCATTGAATATACTGTATTTGTTTCAATAAAATTTGGCTATTGTGAGAGGTATGTCTGCTCTCATTAATATTTAAATGTATTTTTTCATTAGGTAAACTACAATAGTTTGGGAGTTTTCATAGTGCAATTTTTTAATGTTTGAATGGAAACAATTTTGTAATAAAAACATAAACCTTTTTTTTTTGCTGTTTATTACTTTTGTGACCTATTTGATTGTTTCGTTTCGATAAATAAGGGCAAGATCCTCAAGAAATGGTACATCTAAAATTGTATATATTTTTAATTTTGGCGTTAAAAATAATATTGAAGAACATTTTATAAATCAGACTTAATTTGGCATAAATTAAACTTCACAATCCTCCTTAACCACTAATTATGTAAACTTACTTGACTTTACTGTGAAACTTTCATAACCAATCTCACTTCACTCACAATCTCTTTACTAGAACCTTTATAACAATGTAATAACCAAATAATGTCCATAAAAATCCAAAGTACATCTCACACTATGGAGTAATGGAGAAACATTATTGTCACATTACATACACAAATCAAATAGAAGTTTAACGCCAATAGTGGCTAAATTATCCTAGTGTGAAAACACTTAAAAGAAGCATAAATTATGCTTGGAAAACCATGTGAAATGTCTTTATATTTGAACATCAAAGTCAATAGCTTTTTTAGTTTGCTAAACTTGCCAGAAATATCAAATCCCTGGATGCAGCCAACACTACCTACTGCCATCCAATACCTGGGATGTAACTGACTTGACTCAAGTTGGCAACATAGAAATAGCAACCTTGCTTGTATTCCCATACTATATCATTTGTTTTAGAATCATAATGGAACACTCACTACCACCACCTCACTGTCACCAGCGGGGTTCCACAGGGCTCTGTACTCGGACCCATTTTGTTTCTAGTGTATGTAAATAACCTTCCAGAGGGTATAGACTCATTCCTCAATATTTGCTGATGATGCAAAAATTATGAGAAGAATCGAAACAGATGAAGATAGGAGACGACCTGGACAAACTGGAGGAATGGTCTAGAAAATGGCTGCTAAAGTTCAACTCAAGGAAGTGTAAAGTAATGAAATTAGGCGAAGAGAGCAGAAGGCTGAACACAAAGTACCATCTAGGAGGTGAAATCCTGCAAGAGATTCGGGACCCTGCGAAAGGGAGATGGAACTTTCACCGATGACAACAAAGAAATGAGCGAGTTACTGAGGAAGTAGTACGACTCTGTTTTTAGCGAGCCACTAAACACACTAAAGATTGATAACCCAAATGAATTTTTCATGGATATGATACCAACATCAAATCATATATCAGACATCACCCTATCCCCACTGGATTTTGAAGAAGCCATAAACAGTATTGTTATGCACTCTGCACCAGGCCCGGATTCTTGCAACTCCATATTCATCAAGAACTGTAAAAAACCACTATCGCAGGCCTTTCACATTCTGTGGAGACAAAGCCTAGATACTGGCGTTATCCCTGACATACTAAAAACAGCAGAGATAGCACCACTCCATAAAGGAGAAAATAAGGCAGAGGCAAAAAATTACAGACCGATAGCACTAACATCGCACATAAAAAAAATTTTGAGAGAGTGCTAAGATCACAAAATACATGGAATCACAGCATCTCAAATAACCCCAGACAACATGGTTTCAGAACAGGGCGCTCTTGCCTAGAGATGCTGTACCGATGATATTTTTCAAAACGCTTGTGCTCTCTTAGAGTCGAGTACTGCTGCACAATGACAGTTCCTTTCAAAGCTGGAGAAATTGCTGACCTGGAGAGCGTGCAGAGATCCTTTACTGCTAGAATCCACTCAGTAAAACATCTAAACTACTGGGACCGACTAAAGAGTCTAAATCTGTATTCCCTTGAGCGCAGACGGGAGAGATACATAATAATCTATACGTGGAAAATAATTGAGGGGCTGGTCCCAAACCTGCACACAGAAATTAACATCTGTAACATCAATAACATGAGACCAGAAGGCATGGCAGGATGTGCAGAATACCTCCGTTGAAAAACAGAGGTGCAACAGGTACTCTGAGAGAGAACTCTATCAACATCAGAGGCCCGAGACTGTTCAACATGCTTCCACTACACATAAGGGACATAACTGGCCGTCCCTTCACAGTGTTCAAGAGAGAACTTGACAAACACCTCCAAAGGATACCAGATCAACCAGGCTGTGACTCATACGTCAGGCTGAGAGCAGCCGCGTCCAACAGCCTGGTTGATCAGTCCAGCAACCAGAAGGCCTGGTCGACGACCGGGCTGCGGGGACGCTTAGCCCTGGAAGCACTTCAAGGTAACCTCAAGGTAAGAGTCAAATAGAGAGAAAGATTTGGGGGTCGATATCACACCGAACCTGTCCCCAGAGGCCCACATCAAAAGGATATCATCAGCGGCATATGCTAGACTGGCAAATATAAGAACTGTCTTTAGAAACTTGTGTAAGGAATCGTTCAGGACCCTTGTATACCACTTATGTAAGACCAATCCTGGAGTATGCAGCTCCAGCCTGGAGTCCATACCTAGTTAAACACAAGACGAAGTTAGAGAAGATTCAGAGGTATGCCACCAGACTGATCCCGGAACTGAGAGGAATTAGCTACGAGGAAAGGCTAAGGGAGCTCTAATTTATGTTTTAAATTATTTTAGTTAACAGTTTAATATGAATATTTTTCCCATTCTCTGTTTTGCTCGACCTCAAGAAATCGACAACAGGGTGACCCCCTGTCTCCATTTCTCTTTAATCTAATAATTGATGAGGCAATTACTAGGGCTAAGGACTTGGGGCTAGGGGTTGGACTGGGGGGCGAAAAGATATCAGCACTGGCATTCGCTGACAATCTGTTTGTGGCAGCAGAAACGGCTGTCAGACTACAGACACTCATAACAAATATTTGCCACACACTGTGTGGCTCTGGTCTATCCGACCACGGCCGCCGGAACCCCTTCTAACTGAATGACTGAGCGCTCTAGGAAGTGGAAAGCAAAACTGTATAGCATGGTCGACGGTGCCGGCCTTGCATCCTCATGTGAGGTTCCATCTTGCCACAAATGGGTCGCATCCAGTACCCGTCTGCTAAGCGGAGGAGATTTTGCTCATGCCATCGAGATTAGGGCAAACGCTGTAGCCACGCCATCTAGATCAGCTAGGGGTAGACCCGAGGCTTCTGGTCTCTGCGATGCTTGCCAGAAACCAGGGACCATGGGCCACATATCCCAGGCATGCCACAAGACACATGGGGCTCGGGTGAAACGTCATGACGATATCACCCGATTTGTAGCCGGCCGCCTGCAGCAAAGAGGTTTCGAGGTGGAACGTGAAGTCCGTATACCGGATGGAGGGACCTTCTGTAAGCCTGACATCATAGCTTGCAAAGGTGATGGGCCTTTATATTAGACACCCAGGTCTCTGCTGATAACTTCCCACTCTCCCGTCCACATCAGAGCAAGTGCGACAAGTACGGCACCCAGAGATCCTTCAAAAGGTCAGGGAATATACCGGGAAGCACACAGCATCCGCCTCTTCAATAACCCTTAACTGGAGAGGAGGATGGTTCAAGGAGAGTGCGCGTGGTCTACAGGATATGGGACTCACCAAGAACGACCTTGAGATTTGCTCTGTGAAAGCCCTGACCTGGACATATTCCATCTACAGAATATGGTCCAAGACCACATCTACGGCCAGACCACCTTAGTCCCAGGATCACCGTGCACAGGGTGCATAAGGGTTAATATAGTCTCGCTTAAGTGAACTGCAGCCAGGATAGCTGGTAGCCAACTATCTAAGCAGAGTCGTCATCTGGAGTACCACTTCTCCAAATGGTGTCTCACAAGAGGGTGGATGACCTGGCCGGAGCCCACGAGTGGGTAAGGCAGCGGCCGGAGGGACCTTAGTTTAGTTCATTTATTATGCACCCCATACCCATCTTGTGGGCGGTAGTGGAAAGGGTTGCAGAGGCACATAATGGGCTCAGGGACTGAACCCGACAATTCATTTAGCTAAGCAAGTTACAATCTTGATGAGCTAGTTACAAAATTCAATATAAGTCGTCACATCAACAATGGGTTCCCCATGAGCATACATGATATCCCTCCCGCTCCAGGGCCTTGTTAGGAGCTTCCACTATGAATAGTTTTTTCCATGTATGCCGATGTCAAGTCACCAATCCTGCGCTTAGGCAGCTTGTTGTTTTGCCTTCAGCTTTAGTTCTTTTTTAATGATATACTGTGCACCTCTCACTGTGTGCCGTGTCCCATATAAGAAAAACCAAATACAAAAGAATTTTCCATTTTGTGTATGTTATTTTCATATATTCATGTTATTATTGTGTGTTATTATTATCATCTTAACTCTTATGGGTTGTAATCTGCCATTTATGTGTATTTTAGTTTGTGTTTGATAGGGAATTAGGTATGCTTAGGCCATGCCCAGTGGCTGGTGGGATTGGTGCCCTCAAGCTACATAAGAACCCTTCCCCCCCCCTGTTGCAGTTGCAGTTCAGCTTCGTCTAGTTGACCTGCGTATCATATTGTGCATTACTTTGCCACCATTTTTTTTACATTTACTTCCTCGGCATCGTTGTTTTTTAAAATAATGTATAATGAAGTAAGTACTTCGAGCAGAAAACAGTTGCCGTGGGCAGTGCGTGCGAGGAGAACCATGGCGACACAGGCCAAGAAGGACGAGCTCACCTGGATGCACGTTATTGTCCGGGTTTTCCTCAATTCGACTACGCATCCCATCGAATATGCCAAAGTTCTGATCCAGGTAGGAGTGAGTGTAGTTGTCATAAGGATTTGTTGTGTATATGGGTGTATGTGAGTGGTTGTGGAGGCCCGGCGGTGAGGGAGGGCGCTAGTCTGCTGAGGGCAGGCGCTCCTCTAGTCTTAAAAAAATATTATGTACATTATTTCTTTATCTATAATAATCTACATCTAGTCTAGTAATTGCACATGATTTCTGTAAGCTTTATCAACATCGGGTTTGAAAGTGGTGTATGGATTAACCTGGTTCAAGATTTGTCAGAGTAAATACTAATAATTTACTTAATAAATTGTAGTCATTGTTGCTGTTGATAACCCCTATGTTATCACAAGTTTCAGATATCCACAGATACTGCCTCTTTCTATCTCTGTAATATCCATGTAAGGTGTGGCAGAATGATGGAAACATCTTTCCCTCAATCAATAGTGACTGAAACCAACATAATTTACCTAAATTTACCAGAATAATGGGGTGCCTTGAAAGAAAATGTTGAAGCCAATTCCATCCTCAACTTTAAAAATAAATATGATGAAAATGTTAATGCTGAAAGGGGTAATTAGCATGGCAGGTATGACCAGCTATGAGGCAGGGCATAAAGTGCTCAAGAACCCATCCCTGCATTGTCACTGATAGGTCAGCACCTACCTTGTGTAACGTCCGGGATCAATGGCCTCGTGGCCCAGTCTCTGACCAGGCCTCCCGGTAGGTTGAGCAGAATACCCCCCACTGGAAAACAGGTGCAACAGGTACTCCGAGAGAGAACTCTATTAACATCAGAGGCCCGAGACTGTTCAACACCCTTCCACTACACATGAGGGGCATAACTGGCCGACCCTCACAGTGTTCAAGAGAGAACTTGACAAACACCTCCAAAGGATACCTGATCAACCAGGCTGTGACTCATGAGTCGGGCTGCGAGCAGCCGCTTCCAACAGCCTGGTTGACCGGTCCAGCAACTAGTAGTCCTGGTCGACAACCGGGCCTAGGTCGTCAACCAGACCGATGACTGGGTCGCTAAGCCCCGGAATTACCTCAAAGTAACCTCAGTAGGTAAGGTAGGTCGTAGGTCGTCTGGTCAACCAGGCTGTTGGACGAGGCAGCTCACAGCCTGATGGATGAATCATAGCCTGGTTGATCAGGTATATACAGTATTGATATGTTTATATTGATACCTATATTGATATTCTATGTTTGAACATTTATTTCCTGGTACTGTACAGTATTTAGTTTATTAGACCGTATTTTCTATTAGCAAATGGAAAAATCAAATTGATTGGCTTTTATTGATTCCACTGGAAAAAATGGGCATTATTCCATGTGTAGAACAAATTGTGAAAATAAAGTTTCTCTGGTAACCTAACCCATTTATACCAAAGGATGAATATATCATTCTTGCATATATTGTATCTCAAAAAAAAAAAAAAAAAAAAAAATGTAGCCCTGCTGACATTCACAATGTTTTTAAATTTTCTCGCCCAGTAAATAAAATACTATAGTGTATTGCATGAACAAGGTAAAATCCTTAAAGAGGTATAAAGTTCTTCCAGACTGTCATACATCTGTTGGGTTGTAATTGAGATGTGGACTTAAACATTTTAGTTCCCTGGCTAAAAAAAAGTCACTCTGGCAGAGTTGCTCAAGTTGACCACCTCTCAAAACTTGCAATGATTTTGTAGATAAAATAAATAACATTGCATTAACATATCAGTTAGACATTAAATAGCACATTTAGATTTGAAGAGATCAGTGTTTGTAGATTGGAAGAATTTTGTAGGTTATCCTGCTACTGAAGAAAACTTTTAAAATTGTTATTATACAGGCTGAGAACGCAAAAAAAAATTAATTTTTTTTTTCGTTTTTTACATATACAGCTTGGTCATGAGCCGCTGGAACCATACAAATCACGAACAATATTTGGGCGAGAAGCATTCTATTATCCCAGTGTCTTCAGTTACAGTAAGTTGAATGTTATTTCCCTGAAAAAATGTAAAATTTTGTAATAAATTACAGAAAATTTAATATTCATCTTGTTGGCTCGGGATAGTGGCAATTTATGGTTCACATACAATATATCTAAAACTGGAATCTGGTTTGGTTTAATGTACTGTAGTTAATAAAGTTTTATGATAGTTTGCATGTCAGGGCAAAGTCATCAATAGCAAGAAAGTAATATATTTTATAATCCAAATAAAATAATTTGGTATTATATAATATTTATTTATATATATAAAAGGTACATTGGGGTTAACAGAGAACATAGAAATTAAGTTGATTTGACATTCTTGCAAAGTCACTAGCACGTGTAGCGTTTCGGGCATTGTAGTCTGTACTAAATGGATTTTCTGTAGCCCCCAACTCTCACAGTGCTGTACCTATCTTCGAAAGTCCTTAAATTTTTATATTTAAATAAGTTTATATGCACCTAATGTATTACATTCTAGGGATGAATATGCTAGATATGTGTTGTAATTACCCAAGTGTAGTTACAGGATGAGAGCTATGCTCGTAGTGTCCCATCTTCCCAGTACAGTACTGTACTATTTTCTCATATAACGCTTTGAAACTACTAATGGTTTTGGCCTCCAACTTTCTCACTTAACTTATTTCAACCGTCTACGACCGATTGCAAAGAAAACTTTATAATATTCTTTCGAAATCTTTGTTTCCTTGGCTTGAATTTATCCTCTCTAGTTCTTGAGGTTGCTGGTTTCAGGAATTCCTCTTGTCAATTTGGTAATTCCTGTTATTATTTTGTTAGTAGTAATCATGTTCTTCTTTTTCATATATCTTCTAGCTTTGGCATATTTGACGCCTTTAGCCTCTCTTCATAACTCTTGTTTTTCAGGTCTGGAAGCCATTTTGTAGTATGCCTTTGCACCTTTTCCAGTTTATTTATGTGCTTCTTAAGATATGGGCACCATACAACTGCTAAATATTCCAATTTTGGTCTCACAAAAGTCATGAAGAGTTTCTTTAGTGTTTCACCATCCATGTACTTAATTAAGTGATTCTGAAGTTGGGAAGTGTGGCACATGCTCCTTGCACGGTATCCTTTTATGTGCTCCTCTGATGACATTCTACTGTCCAGAATTACCCCTAGATCTTTGTTAGTTCTTTAATTCCTTTCCACATAATTTCTAAGTTGTGTGTGGTCTATATTTACATATTCCATAACATGGCATTTATTTACATTGAATTTCATTTGTCACTTGGTGCTCCAAGTACTTATTTTACCTAGGTCAATTTGAAGGGAATGACAATTATCTACATCATCTTTCTTCTCTAGTATCTTAGCACTATCGCGCGCGGTGCATGAGCGCCGCAGACTTTGATATCATGGGATGGATGGTGCAGGCGAGCGTGCGGCGACCCCTCAATGTGTATACTCGTTTCAGTTTTCTCACCTTAATTCTCGAGCTACGTTAATCATTTTGGTATCATTGTGTTCACAATTAAATTCCCTGCAGGTGTATATGCATATAATGTCCAAAAGCCTGGCGAGACTCCCCGCAGCAAAGCCTAAAGTTACCCGTGAACGAGCACCAATTTGCACACCACAACTTAATGTGTGTACTCGTTCAGTTTCATAACATCAATTTTCGTGTTATGTCGCTTATTTTGTTATCGAATTGTTCGCAATACAAAGGCGCGCATTTTAAAACTAATCTCATAATAGAGCAATAACTGGAATTTTAACAAATATTTTAATTTTGGACACTCATCATCAATATTATTTATATCTTTCCAGTGTTCTGACATCAATTTTCGTATTACGTTGCTCATTTTGGTATCAAATTGTTTGCACTCTAAAGACGCACATTTTAAAACTAGTCCCATAATGATAGCACAATAAATAGAATTTTAACAAATATTTTAAAATTTAAAATTTAGACCCAAAAATGTGTTTATAATCTTTCAAGTGTTCTGACATCAAGTTTCGTGTTACATCTTTCATTTTGGTATCAAATTGTGCGCACTCTAAAGGCGCTTATTTTGAAACTATCCCGAGTGTTAGGGAGCCGGTCGGCCAAGCAGACAGCACGCTGGACCTGTGATCCTGTGGTCCTGGGTTCGATCCCAGGTGCCGGCGAGAAACAATGGGCAGAGTTTCTTTCACCCTATGCCCCTGTTACCTAGCAGTAAAATACGTACCTGTGTGTTAGTCAGCTGTCACAGGCTGCTTCCTGGGGGTGGAGGCCTGGTTGAGGACCGGGCCGCGGGGACACTAAAAGCCCCGAAATCATCTCAAGATAACCTCAAGAAGGTCAATCGGATAAAAAATAAATTTTATAAAAATATTTTTGGAGTGGACACGAGTTCTGTCCATGGCTAGGACTCGAGAGAAAAAAGTGGACGTGATCGGTGTCCAAAGTGAGCGATAGTGTTAGCATCAACTAAAATGTTCATATAATACTCTGTTCTTTCTAGGAGATCATTTATGCCTGCCTGATAGGAGCCTGACAGCTGAGTGGACAGTGCTAGAAATTCGTAGTCCAGAGGTTCCAGGTTCGATCCCCGGTGGAGGTGGAAACAAATGGGCAAAGTTTTTCACCCTGATGTCCTTATTCACTTAACAGTAAATAGGTACCTGGGAGTTAGACAGCTGCTACGGACTGCTTCATGGGGGTGTGTAACAAAATGGAGGCTTGGTCAAGGACCGGGCCACGGGGACAAAGCCCCAAAGTCATCTCAAGATAACCTCTAGTTATGTAGATGATGAACATTCAACCCGTCCTCTTAAAAATAACGTCACTTTTCGCTGGTATGCGCTATGGCCAAATTTGGACGTAATTTGAAATGAAATCGACTCGCAAAAGTGACGTACTGTTCCATTTTCTGTTTGAGTCGTCCGGCTTACTCGGCAAGCTTAGAAAAGGATTCTTTCCATTAACGTTTTTCATACCATTTTGAAACTGAGAATTTCCTGCCCACCTAACCTATCAGAGGACCCTTAACTTACTGTTGTTGAAAAAAAATCCAAAATTTATATTCATTTTTTTTCATTTTCAAATTACGTCCATATTCGGCCATACGGGCAAACGGCCAAAAGCGACGTACTTTTTTAAGAGGACAGGTTGGAACATTACTGATGCAAGAACTGAACTCTATGGTGCTTTGCTAGTAACACACTACCAGACAGACATTGCTTCTTATTACTGCCCTCATCTTTGTCAGAATATTTTTCATCCATGTCAGTAGTATCCCTGTCATCCTAATAGCATATTCCAGTTTCCAAAACAACATCCTTTGTGGGACTGTGAAAAGCTTTTTTGTTTTTTTTTTGTTTTTTGGTCCAGATAGTCAACCCAACCATCGCTTTCCTGAAGAATCTCTGTGGCTCTTATTATAAAAACTAAGTATATTTGCTACACAGGATTTCCCTGTTTGAAAACCATGCTATCTTTCTGGTATGTGTCTACTCATCATGTGTTCTGCGTATTTGGTTTTAACTAATTTTTCTAGTACAGTATTTTGACCAGATTAATGATACAGGTCTATAATTTAGAGGGTTTTTTCAGCTACCATTTTTGTAGATTGGAACTGTTTTCCTTTGCCATCCTCTTCTAAATTGTCACATAGCATATCTAATTTCCAACTGGACATGGTTACTCTTAAGGGAGGAAGGTACCGAATGTCATATCTCTTCTTCTTGCCTGGTAAATACCAAATCAAAATATGATTGAGAATCACCTCTCATTGTTGTGGGCTTTTACATGTTGATACATGAAAGATTCCAGGATGAGGTTTATGAATCGACAGGTCCAAAAATACTGTTATTGCTTTATAGTCTAACCAGTCTATTGATTTTAAATTGAAGTTGGCAAGTTTCAACAATTGTGATTTATCTTTATTTTCTTTTACAATAATTTATCTTATGATCATTATAAGGCCCCCCTCTTTTGTCACTGAGCTCCTCCTGAGTCCATTCCATGTAGTGTTTGCTGGTGGTCTGTATGCAGTAATTGTTATTAGTTTGTCATTCTGACTGCAAATCTCCAGTGCCATTATGGCTACTTCCAGAGTGTTGTCGATATCGTTTCTTTTGCCTATAGTCGTTCCTTCATCAGAATTGCAACACCTATACCTTTTCTAACTTCTGTCACATCTTCAAATAACATAACCCTCAGGAGTACCACCTCATTTAAATTCTTATCCTCCAGTTTCATCTCTGCTAGTGTGACAGTATCCCGCATCTTTAGCTTTATTATATCATTTAACTTCAGTATTTTTTACCTTACCCCAGTACACTGATGTGCCTCAAGCAAATCCTCAGTCCTCATTAACTTACCCAGAAAGCCACCTTCATGTGTTTCAGTAAAACCTTTGAAAGTCTGCTTCCTTTGCTGTCTCCACCGACGATCCTGTCACATTCAGTTCTGTCACATCCGCCATCTTTGTTTTGATTTCACTTGCTCTGATTCAGAGTCCCTGGGCCAAATTTGTTTTTTCCAGATTTGTATATATTTCACAACAATCGTCACTCTCCACTTTTTATAAATGATCTCGGTATATTTATGGTATCGAGAACACCACTTGAATAGCTCTCTCCCCTCCCCATCGCTAGCACTCAGATATGATGCAAAGATCCTGGAGTTCTCCGATCTGTGTCATGATGATGTGCTCCTCAATACACACACACACTCCCTGTGTGTGTGTGTAATTACCCAAGTGTAGTTAGAGGATGAGAGCTACGCTCGTGGTATCCCGTCTACCCAGCACTCTGTCATGAAACGCTTTGAAGCTACTGACGGTTTTGGCCTCCACCACCTTCTCACCTAACTTGTTCCAACCGTCTACCACCCTGTTTGCAAAAGTGAATTTTCTTATATTTCTTTGGCATCTGTATTTAGCTAGTTTAAATCTTTGACCTCTTGTTCTTGAAGTTCCAGGTCTCAGGAAATCTTCCCTATCGATTTTATCAATTCCTATTACTATTTTGTACGTAGTGATCATATCACCTCTTTTTCTTCTGTCTTCTAGTTTGGGCATATTTAATGCCTCTAACCTCTCCATGTAGTTCTTGCCCTTCAGTTCTGGGAGCCACTTAGTAGCATGTCTTTGCACCTTTTCCAGTATGTTGATGTGCTTCTTAAGATATGGGCATCCACACAACCGCTGCATATTCTAGCTTTGGCCTAACAAAAGTCGTGAACAATTTCTTTAGTATATCGCCATCCATGTATTTAACACTTTCGCGCATCCGAGCAGACCGTCGTTGTCACCAATATTATTAATCACACCGCACGCGTGCCGCTCTCGGGAGTCACGAGAAAAAATGTTTGTAGAAAATCCATTTATTATCCGATCAACTTGGGAATAGTTTACAAATGTTTGCCATGAAATTTACGTTTTCTCTAATAGCCGAACAGCTTATTAAAGAGAACGTCGTGGCAGTGAATCATCGTGGTAAAACAATTGTATTATTGACACGACGAGTATAATCGACGTAGTTTTTATATATGTTGCCGGTCGAACGCATCCTTATGTGACCTTTAATACTTATGTTCTTATAGAACATTCTATTGCGAGCACATTGGTACAAAAATGAAATACATACATCAACAAATAAAGTGAGGACAGTGAATTGAAAATACACTTTTCAAAGCGAGTTTCGCCGATATGCCGCCGTGGGTAACACTTCGGCCACTTCCTACACTGTTTTGGGTGGGCTACGACATTGAATCTATATTTATATGCATATGTCCGTGTAGAGAATTTTATTGCGATTCCAATGATACCACAGTTAGCGATGTAGGACAACTGTAGGCTTCGCAACCATTAAGAGAGTGGAAACATTTTGTTGCTGTTTGGCGCTCTCGGCGAGTGATCTGAATAGTTTTTTATTTGGTGTTGATAGTCCTTATGCTTTGGCGGCATTTTATAGGTATGTTCTTATAGACAATTTTATTGCGAACACAGTGATACCAAATTTAAATACGTGCGCCTTCAATTATTGTCAGGACAGTCAAAAGAGTGTACACTTTTTCGGTCTTACCGCGTAGGTGCGCGAACCGCCGAAAGCGCATAGGGTATGATTTTTTTTTGAACGCCGAGAGCACGAAAGTGATAAAAGCAGTTCTGAAGTTAGAAAGCGTGGCATAGGCTCCTCGCACAATGTTCTTTATGTGGTCTTCAGGTGATAGTTTTCTATCTAGAACCACCCCTAGATCTCTTTCTTTATCAGAATTCTTTAAAGATTTCTCATATAATATATAGGTTGTGTGAGGTCTATGTTCTCCTATTCCACATTCCATAACATGGCATTTATTCACATTAAATTCCATTTGCCAAGTGGTGCTCCATCTACTTATTTTGTCCAGGTCTTCTTGAAGGGCATGACAATCATCTAAGTTTCTTATCCTTCCTATTATCTTAGCATCATCAGCAAACATATTCATATAATTCTGTATATGAACTGGTAGATCATTTATGTAGACAATAAACATCACTGGTGCAAGAACTGGACCCTGTGGTACTCCACTTGTGACATTTCTCCAGTCCGATACATTGCCTCTGATTACTGCCCTCATTTTTCTATCAGTCGGAAAATTTTTCATCCATGTTAGAAGCTTGCCTGTCACCTCAATATTTTCTAGTTTCCAGAACAACCTCCTATGTGGAACTCTGTCGAAAGCCTTTTTTAGGTCCAGATAGATGCAGTCAACCCAACCATCTCTTTCCTGTAAAATCTCTGTGGCTCGATCATAGAAACTGAGTAAACTCGATACACAGGATCTTCCAGATTAAAACCATACTGTCTGTCTGATATTATATCATCTCTCCAGGTGTTCTACCCATTTAGTTTTGATTAGTTTTTCCAATACTTTCACTATTACAATTGTCAATGATGCAGGTCTATAATTGAGGGGTGTCTTCCCTGCTGCCACTTTTGTAGATTGGAACTATGTTAGCCTATTTCCACACGTCTGCTAAGATTCCTGTACACAGGGATGCCTGAAAGATCAGGTGAAGTGGAATTTTGAGCTCAGATGCACATTCTCTCAGAACCCATGGTGAAACTCCGTCTGGACCAACTGCTTTGTTCTTACTTAGCTCCTTTAGCATATTTTCCACTTCATCTCTAGACACCTCTAAACGCTCTATGTTGTTTTCTGGAATTCTTATTGTGTTTGGTTCTCTGAAGATCTCATTTTGTACAAACACACTTTGGAACTTTTCGTTTAATGTTTCACACATTTCCTTTTCATTTTCCGTGTATCTGTCCCCCATTTTCAACCTCTGAATACAGTATTATCCTTTACCTGCAGCTTACTTTTAATGAATTTATAGAAAAGGCCTGGATCTGATTTACATTTGTCTGCTATACCGTTCTCAAAGTTCCTCTCTGCCTCTCTCCTTACTGACGTGTAATTGTTTCTTGCATCTTTGTATCGCTGGTATGTTTGGGGGTTTGGCCTCTTTCTATAATGATTCCATGCTTGTGTCTTTTGATCTCTGGCCTTCTCGCAATTTCTGTTGAACCAACCCTGTTTCCTTGGTCTGCATGTCTGTTTTGGTATGAATGTTTGTGTGCCTTCATTATATATTATGCAAAATTTGGCATACATCTCATTTACTTCCTTGCCCAGCAAGAAGTCTGTCCAATTATACCCAAGAAAAAAATTTCTAAGTTCCCCATAGCGTCCTCTCTTGAAATCGAGTTTAACAACTGTTTCACTATCCCCATTCTCTACTAGATTATATCGCATAGCATATTTAATGTGCAAGAGGACATGATCATTGTGTGTGTGTGTACACATGTGTACACATGTGTACTCGCTCGCCTAATTGTGCTTGTGGGGGTTGAGCTTTGGCTCTTTGGTCCTGCCTCTCAACTGTCAACAATCAACTTAGTGTACTGGTTCCTGAGCCTATTGGGCTCTTATCATATCTACATTTGAAACCGTTCATGGAGTTGGCCTCTACCACATCGCTGCTAAATGCATTCCATTTGTTAACTACTGACACTGAAGAAATTCTTTCTAATGTGTGTGTGTGGCTCATTTGGGTACTAAGTTTCCACTGGTGTCCCCCTTGTTCTTGTTTAACCTGTGCTAAATAGTTTGTCATTTTCAACCCTGTAAAATTTCCCATGTGAGTGAGTGAGAGGGAGGGAGTAAGCAAGTACGTACGGGACATGAAGACAATAGCTTTTTGGTATTCTGTCTTCCCTCACATCTTGGGTTTGTGACTTTAAAGTTTCTAAAAGTTTTGACATCCATTGCCCTCTTGTTTCTACTTGTACACTATTGCAAAAAATTACTTTGTTTAATTTTCAGCACATTTTGTTCCTAGCTTGAATCTGACTGCTTGTGCTTGAAATTACAGGTTTAAAACATTTTCCTTTTTAACCTGTTGATTCTTATCACTATTTTAGAGTATTTTGTATGTGGTGATCATATTGCCCTTCTTTTATCTGCAGCACTATCCTTGGCATATTTATTACCTTCAATCTGTGCTTATAGTGGTGTTTTTTTCCACTACACAACTGCTATTTATTCAAAATTTTGGTCTCGTGAATATTATATATAAATTCTTCAGTACTGTATTTTGCTATCTATAAATTTAAAATCAATTCTGAAATTTTGTAAAGAAGTGTCTTATTCTCAATTCCATTGTGATCCTTTGATGACAGAATTTTTTGTTCAGAATAGGCCCTTGCATCTCTGTAAGGGTATGTTTTAGCTCCTTTTCACATAATTTATAGGTTGAGTGGCCTGTTTTTCCCATTTTCCATATACTGTACAGTACAGCTTGGGATGTGGGGAACATCAATGGGTTAATTTTGAAAATCATATGGCTGGTTTTCATTTCGGAAGTGGCATGTTCCATTTGGTAGAAGTTTGCATTTGGCCCATTGGAGGTGCCAGAAATTTTATTTCTGAAAATATTTATGAAATTGTCTTCTAAATTGTTTATTAGAACATGTTCCCAAGATAATTAATAGAAATCGAGTTGAGAGTTTTGGGTATGGGCAAGTTGATGGACTTGTTTTATTTAAACCATTCAGGAGGTCATGGCTCTACCTATGAAAATTAAGTTTTAAGGGGCTGGATCCTGTGAAATCTCTAGTCAGGTTGGTGTCCATTATATTATAATTTTAATTTAAAATTTCATTCTGTGAAATTCACCCATAGTGTGAGAGAAATTTCTTGTAAATGCAACACTAGAAAAAACAGTTGGTGTCTTGGAAAACCCATTGAACATGTTTATAACCAAATTCTAGTGTTCATTTTAATTTAGAAACATAAAAATATGGGAAAGTTAGTGATTCCCAAAAATTACAATTGCAGTATTTGGAATAGTTTCTGAACCTTGAACGACATGATTGGATTTTGGAGGTTGCCGTGTAATGTACAGGTCTATATACAGTACATTTATTACATATATTGATGCATTATTTTCTGTATATTTTATATATAATTTTGTATTAAACAGTACAGTATTATTATTATTTATTACAGTATTTATATTAATATGTTGCAGTTTCCTATATTAAAAAACGTGATGGATTCAGTGGATGTTACCGCGGTTTGACTCCAAAGCTAGCAGCCAACATCGTTAGTGGTGTGGCATTTCAGAGAGTCACAGAAAGTATCAAGTTTTCAGTAAGTATTTCTATAAAAATTTGGTTAATTGTTACAATATTGAGCTTTGATTTAGTATTGTGTGAATTAATTTATATTATGCATCTTTAAAACTCGTTTTGCTGGAAACCTTTATTCCAAATCTTAGTTAAGAATAAGAACTTCTTCCCTATCAGTATCAGTGTGACTTGTTCAATAACGTAACTGCCATTCTTAAATGTACTGTATGTACAAGAGTGTATTACTGTAGTTGTATAAAATTATTATATTATGTAATGATTATCTAAATTTTAGAGACAGGTGTTAACCTGATTTGAGAGTACGGTATAGTAGTTGGAGTTCATTGTCAGATTTTTATGTTTACAGGTGATAGTTCTTTTTTAAAGAGGATAGGGATTTATAATATACAGGTATACTTCTTGAAATTTGTGTGTACAAGTTACCAGTCTAAATCCAGAGCATACAGTAATGTCAGTCTCCTCAAATAGGTCAATTTTATCTTTTTAAACATTCAAATGTAGAGGATATTTATCTCTGTGGCTATCTAGGGTTGGTTTGCCTCCCTAGGTGAAAAATAAAATTAAGTGCATAAAGTGCTTAAACCCCACTTGTAAATACTGTACCTAAAAAAAATGTTGAAAATGTTACATGCCAGTCTGTTGATATGGGGGTGATGATACAGAGAGCATTAACACCACCTGCCACCCAGGCACTGCATGGCTGTCTGCATCTGGTGTGTAATGGGGGAGGTCACACATGTTCCCCACTAAATGTGCACCCCCTCCTCCAAATATTATATGTATAGCAACTATTAATTAAATTCTTACTTGTGCTATACAAGACCTAGAAAAGTTCAGGTTTAGGTGTTGCCTTTTTTCATATGCCATCGACAAAATTAATACAGTGCACAAAGCAATCACAATAATGTGATGCATCAATGAGAAAATCATTGTCATGAGGATGATTCGAACCTTCCTCATGGCTCCTACTGATTTTCTAATTGATAAATCATGTTAATGTGATTTCTTTGTCAACTTAAAAAGAAGCACAGGAGGTAGAATTCCTAGACTGGAATCCAGAGTGCATGGGAGCATTGTGTGAAACCTCGACTAGGTTTCAGTGGGAACCTCGAGCTCTAGAGAATTCGCTTGAATCCCAGATTGCAATGCTTTTGACTGTCATGGTGACCCCCCCCCCCCATATATTTACTTTCCTTTATATGGAAGTTGAATCTATCCAGTGGTTGTAGATGTAGCTCAACACTTCTTTGGATAAAGGATAGGGATGTAAGGGAAGGTTTAGCGAGGCCTGACTTGATCAGTTGACTAGTCTGGCAAGTTGAACTTGGTTCAAGTGGGCACTGGAGGCTCAATATCCTTATTGGTCTCAGATATGCCATACAGGTTTTCCAGTGGTTACCTGTATATACTGTACAGTTACCCCTGAGGTTGCACGAGTGCCCATAGATTCCCTTGTCGAACTCTGTCACGGTTGAGGGTACTGGGAAGAAAGGAACCTGGTCCCCAAGTTCCTTCTAATTGGTAAACTATTCTTTACTCTTAGAAAAAAGAAATTGACTCATTTGTGGTGTTTGAGAATTCTAGATTGGGAAGAAGTTGGCAATGATTCTTAAATTTGATAGTACAGTTTTCAAAAGTATCCACTCGATTTAACGGCCTCTTATTTACTGTTCTGCTGGTTCCAATGACTAGTTTTGGAGACTGGCATCTAGAGCCTCAAATACTGGTCTGGTGGTCGATAAAACCGTAGCTCAGTACTGTGTTGGGTATGTTTTGGCATCGGAATGCCCTCGCATGGTAAGCCACCACCGCTCTCAATTGTCCAGTCGTAAATTAAATCTTAACTTTGTTAAAAGGTACAGTTTAATGAAGCAAATTATAAATTATTAATAAAATATTTGGAAACAATTGTTATTAAGTAAAATTCTTTTTTCTTAAATACCTTTTATAGTATAGGCACTAGGTATTTTTTCCCCCCACGGACATGAATGTACTGTGGCGGACCATGTGTCCTCATTGTTTATTGTGGGCTCGCATGGCTAGCTTCAATTTTGAAGGACATTACTGTCTGAGAACGTTAGCCAGAGATAATCAGTCGGGCAAAAATTGATAAATTCATGATTTCAACGATCCATGAAAAATATTCATCTACAAGCCATGCTGCACCCACTGGGTATTCAACAAGTCGTGCAGCATCTGCTGGCAACGAATGCTCTACAAGCCATGCTGCACCTGCTGATGCTGAATTCTCATTGACAAGTCGTGCAGCATCTGCTAATGATGATATAACATATGATTGAAATGCATATAAATTAGTGTAAAAAGTGTTGATAGAGTACAGTATTGTTACGTGTTAATGAATAATTAAGTCTTGACAAAAAGATGTACTTTAAAGTGTAAATACAGAAATAAGTTTCAATTGTACAAATACATTACAGCTGTTAGTCAAATTTTTTTTTTATTAAAGTACAGAGCATTACTCACATGAATTAGTAGTAGGCCTAGCTGTTATGCTAAGTGAATGCCTAAAAATAAGTGTACATACTGTACTATATGTATACTGAACAATACAAAATAAGCGTCGCAGAGGATGACGTAATCTTCACAGCTTTGTAATCTTCAGCTTTATAAAAAAAATGGTCATTTTATCAATTTTATTATAGTATTACAACATATTGTTTTTGGCTACATATTAGTCTCTGCAAATATATATTCTATCATTAGCAGAGAAAAGGTGAACTCACAAGATTTTGTCTTGGCCAGCTCTGGGTTAGTGACAAGGCTCGATGGCCATTGCATGGCCTGGCCACCATAGCCTGTCGTAACATTAAAAATATATTACCTGTACTGTACAGGGTAAAACAGAAATGCATCTACAATTTTATTTAGAAAACATTAACAATCATTGATAGATACAAAATATTTCGCAATACAAAGGAATTAACCAATTTTTCCCACCCATCTGGACTTGATCAGACCGTGTTCGCGCATCATCCGTGCAGTAGCCAACAGCTGGCTTAATCGTTGGCACACCACTAACTTGGAACGCAACTACACAGTGATCTTTATTTCATTTTAGTTGTATAAAACATACCTTACCTGAATGTTACTTGAAATATTACTGACACTTTTTTGGGATATATACAAGAGTTGTTACATTCTTGTACAGTCACTAGTACGCGTAGCGTTTCGGGCAGGTCCCTGGAATACGATCCCCGCTGCGAAGAATCCTTGTTACAACCAAGTACCCATTTTACTGTTGAGTTAAACAGAGGCTACAGTTAAGGATTTGCGCCCAGTAAATCCTCCCCGGCCAGGATACGAACCCATGACAAAGCGCTCGCGGAACGCCTGGCGAGTGTCTTACCACTACACCACGGAGACTAAAGACTTCAACAACTTTGGATTTAGTGGAGCCCTGCATTTAACGACCTGGGTACAGCGCCATATAGGTCGGTAAAGCAGGTGGATACTGTATGGCATTCTGCCAGGTTAAGAGTACTAAATGGTTTTCAATCAAAATTGTGGATGTGTTATTAATTTTTTAGTGCAGGAATTGTTACATTATTAAAAATCATGGCTTGCATATAAAGTATTCATACAGTGAATTAAATTGTAAAATGTTTTCAATTCCACATTTTCATGGAAGTACTAGGTCTAATTTGTTTTATAAAATTAAAATTTTTATATATTTACCAGGAACTTGATGGTGATGTTGTTGTTGAAGATTTGACCGTTCGGGAGAAAACTCAGCGATTCCTTCAGAATACCACTCGGGAATCGGCTGGTAGAGTAGCAGCCATTTTGGCTTCACAGCCTTTCCATGTCATTGCTGTGCGTTGCATGGCAGAATTTGTGGGCGAGGATGGGCAATATACGTAAGTTAATTTTTTTTTATAGCCAAGTAAATGTGATTTTATCAAGTCTTTGACCTTAATTTATAGTTCGAGTAAACTTTTATTTGATAATGACACTTTAAATTAAGTACAGTACTAATCTTAAGCCATATAAATTTTCCTCTACAGTAGTGTGTGTTTTTACACACTTGTCCATATACTCTGATTAAATTATCAGTAGGCAAACTATAGTTATATAAATTTTACTGCCTGTTCAATATGACGCCTGACAGCTGAGTGGACAGCACTTTGGATTCGTAGTCCCGAGATTCTGGATTCGATCCCCGGTGGAGGCGGAGACAAATGGGCAAAAAGTTTTTCACCCTGATGCCCCTGTTACCTAGCAGTAAATAGGTACCTGGGAGTTACAGTTGCTATGCTGCTTCCTGGGGGTGTGTAACAAAAAGCAGGGATGGCTGAGGACTAGGCTGCGGGGACGCTAAGACCCTAAATCATCTCAAGATAACCTCAAGAATACTTAACAAAGATTTCATGGGAATGTGTGAACATGGTTGTTCTATATACAGTAGCTGTTAATAAGCTTTCTGACTTTATTGTACCTGTGGAGGTGGGAGAACACAGGATCCTTCAAAGTTAAAAAATGCTAGTGGCTATATGCAACAATTTTCTGGAGGGGCCTCTTGTTAAGATGGCTTCCTCCGAATGAGTTGCATCATCCATAGGAATCCTATATGGCCTACCTGGGACCACAGCCTGAACCTGGCCCCTTCGCAAAGGCACAAGGCACTAGAGATTATTATTGATCTCCCTTCAGAAAACCTCCAGAAAGTGAAGGCCTACAAACAACTGCAAGGTTGAAGGAAAATGAAGCGCCAAAACAACCAAATGACTCTGCAAACAATTCACTCTGACCCAAATGATTCACTGAAAACTAGCTCCAATTAACTAGTTGCGATTGGCCACCAACTGGTGGTAGCATGATGGTAGCTCCAGGTTCCCAGGTCAACAATGAGTATTATGTCACTGATACCTGAACAATCGGACCTTTCCGAATTGCCAGGCCGTAGCGAGTCCCACTTCTTTCAAAGATGTTGTATGCTATCCTCTGGACTCCATCCTGTGGGGGAGCCTTTTACTTGTGTATCATTCTTAACCTTTTGTATTTTTCATGTGTTTTTATAAGCCTCACTTGTTGCATGGAATTGGTTCTGTATTCACTACAAGCTGCATCTGTTTAAAGCAGCACTTCTCTAAGTGCTCATTTAGCATTGCCCCTGCACAGACAGTAACACTTGTGTTTGGGAGCTTGCCCCTCGGAGGCCAGGTTACTATGAAGAGAACCTCATGCTGTGTGGTGCGTGAATCCTTGGCTCTCTTGTGGGACCCTGTGGTTAGGGGTGTTTGGTTGTTTCATTGTCGGGTGTGCTGAGGGGTGTCACTTTTTCATGAGGCATGCCACTGTTACCCTTAGTAGCCAAGTTTATCCTGTAGGCTGCTTTTGGTGTACAGTATGTCCTTTCAGTGAGCATTTCTTGTGTCTGGATGTTCTGCTTTGTTACTCCTTCAGACTTACTAGTTTCAGGGAGCCACCAAGGGGCTCCTCCAGAAATCCAGCGTTGAATATGTTACAATGCTACATTCTGGTTAGGCCTCAGTGGCTCCCTGATTCCCACTCCATCCCCCTACCATGCATGTCAGTTTTGGTCTTGTCTTAGGACTAACAAATTTCTATCCTGGAAGACTGGTGCTCCTGTGGTGCTGCCACCTGTTGGTATCCTATTGTAACTAGGGGGTTCAAGCTAGTTTCTAGTGAATTATTTAAGACAGTGAATTGGTCACTTGTGGAGTTATTTGGCTGTTTTGATGGTTCGTTTTCTATGAACCTTGGAGTTGTGTATATTATGTACTTCATACTTTCTGGATGTTTTCTTGTTTGGGGGATGGGGGGGGGAGCCAGGTTCTGGCTCAATAATGGGAAACAGTCTCGGCAAAATAACTTCTGGGAGCCACTGAGGCTCTACCAGAAAGAGGCATTTCATTAGTCATCTCTTGTATTTTTAACGAGCTTACTTTTATGATACATGCGACTTAATGCATGGCTTCAAAATCCAAATTTTAGTCCTATGTTCCAACATGCAAACCAATTCTGAGGTCCACTCAACATAGTGCTAATAGTGCATTATTTCAGTTTATCAAAGAAAAATGCCTCGGTAATGGCACACTCGCTTTATTACCTCCTCTAGTAATTGTCTATGCTCTTCAAGAAGCTTAAAATAAGACAAGCAGGGCAATTCCAGTATTTTAGGTAAATACAAAATAGCACATCTTTTATTATTTGTTCAAAAAATTTGGATATTATGTGTTGACTTGTGGTGGTCAAGGAACACTGTTCCCTATTTATAGCATTAACCCTTAAACTGCGCAACACGTCATGACGAGTTGAGTAACATATGCAAAAGTGCGCATCACGTCATATAACGTGTCTTAGATCCACAGGGTTCACATCACCTTCCTCAGGGTGCTTGTAAACAGACGCCATTTTTTGCGTTGTGGGCAACATTCCCGGGTGTGAGGGCCTCGGTACTGAGTGAACTACCAAGCCTGGTGCACACAGCATGAGCTCACAGCACTGCTGTTCAGCTTGTCACCACGGCATCACCTAAAAATGTCAAAAATGTATGTAATTGGTATTATTTAGCGATGATGGTACTGTATTACAGAAGATCCCACACTGATAAAAATGACAAGGATTCTGAAAATAGCAGGATTATGATGATAATTTGCACTGTGCTGTGGGAGGAGTAATGTTTGTGGGAGGGCTGTAGTGTCGTATGCCGAGTCTGTGTGGCCACCTGTTGTTGTCTGCACTTATACCAGCTTAGTGGTTCGCTATGGTGAACAAAACGTGCAGATACTTATATATAAAGTCTATATATTGTGAATAAAAGCAAAAACAGTATGGTGGGAGGAGAATGTTGGCAAGTCAGGTGAGGTGAAGTAGGGAGTGGCCGCCAGTGGCTGGCTTGCTGGTGTGCCGGCCACTCCTTGCTGCTTTTTGACTCGGTATACAACTTAATGGTTCGTTATGGTGAACACAAATGTAGATACTTGTATATATATCATGTATATATAGTGTAATAACAGCAAAAGGAGTGTTGGGAGAAGCCATTTTGGTGAGGGAGGTGGCGACATCTGCATCACTTGTCATGCTGGGTAAGGGTGGCCACAATGCTCTTTGGGCACTATACTAGCATAGTTGAACAGTTATGGTGAACAAAACATGTAGATACTTATATATAATGTGTGTATTGTTCTGGCCTGAGGGGGGGGGTTGTGGTTTATGGAACTTAAACCTCCAAAGAGAGCTCTGGTTGCTGCACCAGGCTGTTGCTTGTGTTTACTAGTTGTGTTTACTAGTTGTGTTTTTGCGGGGGTTGAGCTTTGCTCTTTCGGCCCGCCTCTCTACTGTCAATCAACTGTTTACTAACTACTTTTTTTTTCTTTTTCTTTTTTTTTCTTTTATTTTTTTTTTTTTTTTTTCTTTTTTTTTTTTCCACACCACACACACACACACCCCAGGAAGCAGCCCGTGACAGCTGACTAACTCCCAGGTACCTATTTACTGCTAGGTAACAGGGGCACTTAGGGTGAAAGAAACTTTGCCCATTTGTTTCTGCCTCGTGCGGGAATCGAACCCGCGCCACAGTCCGAACGAGTCCTGCGCGCTATCCACCAGGCTACGAGGCCCCCACAATAGTGTGGGGTAGGTTGTGTATAGGTAGACAACGTCCCCCAACCACTCTGCTGGAACAGACAACCGACCTCGGCAGCCACACTCCCGCTACCGTCGGTCGACCAGTAATGGACACTGAAGTGCTTGAAGTTTTCTCAGATCACCCTGTATGCCTCTTGATCTTGGAGAGGGGTTAAGCATCATATACTTAAGGGTGCGGCTCCAACACTGGCCTCGTTGTCTTGTGTACACACCCTACTTGAGGCGCCGTGACTCCGCGCTCTCTCCTTGTTTTGAATGATCTCCTAAATCCCCTTTTTTGAATTAGAATTTTGTCACCCTGTCTGCAGCCGTGATCCTTTCTCTCTCTCCCTCTCCTGCTTTCTGGGAAGCCTCACCAGGACAAGAGCAAAAGCCAGCTAACAATATACATTTAATAAACGAAAAAACATGCACGAAATATGACAAAAAAAAGAATGAAATATTGGCATACAACACTAAACTGCTACAACTCGGTAGCAATCCAATATCATAACCTGGGGCCAGATTTATGAAAGAACTTACGCAAGCACTTACGAACGTGTACATCTTTCCTCAATCTTTGACAGTTTTGGTTACATTTATTAAACAGTTTACAAGCATGAAAACTTCCCATTCAACTGTTGTTATTGTTATTAACAGCCTCCTGGTGCTTCGGAGCTCATTAGCTGTTTAATAATTGAAAACAAAGCTGCCAAAGATTGAGATAAGACGTACAGGTTCGTAAGTGCTTGCGTAAGTGCTTTCGTGAATCTGGCCCCTGGCTTCACCAACCGCCCATATCGAGTGGCTGTTCAACTCTTGGCTTTCCACTTACTACTCCCTCGCTAAGTGGGGGTTGAAATATCGTGACAACACTACTGTACAATCATCCCTGAGTATCTAAAACTCATCCTGTGACTGAATCACCAGAAGCATCCACATAAATATTCCCCAGCACAAGAAGAAATCAATCTCTCACCTTACACTGCATCTTACATGCCAATAAGCACTCAAGCATTCCCCTTATACATCCCTGTGTATCTACAATGAACCTCTGTTCTGCTCCTGGAGGCTCACTACCATATATATCTCTAGGTCCTCCAAAATACTCAAAAGGCTCTTCTGCCATTCTCCCAAAACTGCTGTACAAGGAAGTCTTCTTCAAACACCAGTGATGCTTCACCACTGATCCCACGGAGACATGTGAAACTCCTTTTCACTGTTCCTTTACATTGCTTGAGGTCAACTCCTCACTATGGAGTTCTGCTCTCCCTCAGATTTCAGCATACACTTCCCCAGCCTCGAAGTTTCCTCCATTAACTTCTTCCCGGGTCCTCGAAGTTCTTCTACCAACTCCTCCCTAAACAAACCTGCAATTCCATTGCCATGCCAATAAAAATGTTTCCCTACTAAAACATAATTAAATGTATCTACAGAAAATAAATCTCCGCCATCTGACATCTCCTTAAACACCTGAGCTGTCCTTCTCTGGGGCAAGGTGCTCTTTTCTCTCTTCCCTTTGGTTTGTTGTAGTCCCTTCGGTTCCGAAGGAGTCCCCTGGGGTTATTGCTGCTTGGTTGGTTGGCAGGGGTGCTTCTTCTTGTATTTGGTTGCGGCTCTCCGCCGTTCTTTGCGCGCCACTGCCTCTGTGGCCAAGGCTGGGCTTTGGGTTGATCCGGTTTCCCTTCTTACCTGTTCTCGGGTTGGGGTATCTCGGGTCGTCTGCTGTGTCCTTCTGTCTAGCCGGCCTGTGGTATCTTCTCCCTGTGCCCTTGATGTTCATAGGTTTGCTGCACTTGCTGCAGTCTTTGGTGGCTTGTCTTGGGCTGACATTCGGGCACAGGATTGTTTTGGCGGTCACACTGGGTCCTTGCTACTCGCTCCCTCATGTATGTTCCTGGGCCTAGTTGGGTCTGTGTTGCCTTGGGTCGGCTGTTGCAGCTTGTTGTCTCGACTTCGTGTTGTGGTATGGGCACCGACTGCCTCCCGGATGTGTCCCTCAGTTTTCGTCTTTATGAAGTAGCTCCGGGGAGCCGTAGGGGTTTCCCTCCTAGAAAACCAGCGTTGAATGTAATGAAACGCCATTTTCTGGGTGAGTCCCAGAGGCTCCCTGGGAACCCTCCCTCCCTCCAGTTGGCATTTTTTTTCCCCCCCTTTTTTTATATCCAGCCTCAGAACTGAAGTGTGGATTGCCGGCGCGAGGGTCTGGGGCTCCCCACTTTCCCCTCCTGGGGAGGGGGGAGCAGCGCAGACATGCGGCACGGCTCTTGTAACGTCGTGCTTGTTTGCTCGTTTTTCTTTTGGAGAGTTATGTCCACTCGTTTGGCTATTTTCGTTGTTTTAACCCGAATAGGGGTTTGTTTTGTGACGCTTACCTTTCTGGGTGTCTGTCCCGGTCTATGGCAGATATAGAATGCTCCAAATCACATGTGCATTTCTATGGGCCATTGCTCCTTGTGCCTCTGTGAGGGGTCAGGTTCTGGCTTGTGATCCCCGGTACGCCTAGCACTCCACCCACATCGACTGATGCAAAATAGTTCAGGTATGCATATCAGCCTGGATAGCTCCAGGGAGCCTCTGGGACTCGCCCAGAAAATGGCGTTTCATTTCATTCAACTCTGGTTTTTTGCCAGACTTCCCCGCGCTATTGCAGCCATAATATGCCACTTAAGATTTTTGTATTATTTTTGCTGTGATCAGGGAACACAAATTATCAGGGTAAGTTTTTTTTTTATGCACCTGTGGGGTGACAAAGGCCAAATAGCCCAGAGCAGCTTAGGGATTAAACATATGGGAAATCTGGTTCCTAGTTATGAATTACTGTCTTTCAAATGCCTTTTCAGAACATGTCCCATTTATAAATTGAGGACTGCCTGTGCAATATATTATACTGTTCAGCAGCACCATTTAATATAGTTTACCTCAGTTATATAAATTATTAAAGAAATTTTTTTTTTTCTAATTTGTCTATTACTATTATAGGGGTGTGTTCACTGCTGTTGGCATTATCTATCGAGAACAAGGGGTAAAAGGATTTTTCTGTGGATTAATTCCACGTCTCCTTTGTGACCTGGCAGCATTGTGGCTTGGGAAGACCCTAGCCCATGTGATTAATAACTATCTGGTGGAGGATAAGGATCTCAAGCAATATGTATCTGCATCAATGAATGTGAGTATACTATTTTGTACTCTATTGTAGTAGTACTGTAGGTATATCATTGTTTGTTTTGAAAATTCCTTAATTATAAAGTGTGCTCCTAAGTACACAGTAAATTATTGAATATCTTTACTATGAGACAGTGTCCATCTGTCTGTGTCTATGGTTGGAGTCCCAACACTAGGGGGGCTCCATCATGCCACTTTTGGGAGGAAATGGTCCACGATAAGGAATGAATGACTGGTCATGGTTGGTGGGAGGGAGACTCCTGGGCACTGCTGGGTAATTTATACTTATAGAAAGTGTCTGTCCAAAGTTGAAGGCTAGACACTTGGGGTTAGCCTCACCCAAATTTGCCTGGGGGGAGTAGTCTGGGGTATGGGATGGACATATGCTGGTTGGGGTAGGCCTAAGTTAAATGCTTTAAGATATATTAAATTATAAACACCATTAGGCCATTTATCAGGAAGATTGGGAGAGGGGAGCAGGGAATAGGGGTGGAGATCCAGGTACAGCTGGCCACCCCTCCTAGTATGACATAAACAAGTTTTCAAGCAATTTAACATTGTAAAATGAGATGGCTATATATATAAAACCCTAATAGCTCATTTTATTATTTTGATGACAGTTCCTGGCTTCTGCAGTGACCTACCCACTACAGGTTGTATCCAACTGCATGGCTGTGTCTGGTAGCGGGTAAGTTCTTTATTCATGTTAACTAAATTTTATAAGTATAGTTTATATAATTGTTATTTCTTGTTATACTGTGGTAAAAGATAGACGAGTTAACTATGTCTGGTGGACATAATGGATACAGCTGCAAGGTATGAGTTATGGGGAAAGGCTACTGGAGTTCAGCCTCATGTCACTGGAAGACACACGAACTAGGGCAGAAAAGATTACCATATACAAAATTCTCAAAGGAATTGACAGGGTATATAAAGACAAACTATTTAGCATGGGTGGAATCCAGATGAGCCGCAGAGACATAAGGTAGAATTTTTCGGTCTTGGTAGTTAAACTTTGTGCATTATGAAGTGATGAGGAGGAGGAGGAGGCAGATTCCACACACAGATTCAAATGTAGTTATGATAGAACCTAATAAGCTTAGGAACGAACCTGTACAGTAGTTGAGACAGGACCAAAGAACCAAAATCTCATCCCCCTATATGCACAACTAGGTGAGTATCAGATGGCAGCTCCATAGACACACAGCACTCACTGTATGAACATTGAGGTCCACGGCTGTTCAGTATTCCTAGCTAGAATAAGAAATATTGTCAGAACAAAGATGGACTTCTTCAAGAAGGAATTAAAAAAAGTTTTTGCAAAAAGTGCCAGACTAACTGGGTTGTAGTGGATATGATGGCCTGCAGGCTGCTTCAAGCAACAGCCTGTTGGGTCAAGTTATCATAAGTCAAGCCTGGTCCCAGTTGGGCTCGGGGAGGAGTAGAACTTCCAGAACCTTCTCAACTTGATCCTCTCCATTACCCCTCCCACTTCGCAGCAAGGCCGAGCCCCAAATCCCCAGTGGTGACTACCGGCCACACTCGTTTGTTACTTGCAGGAGCATAATGGAATACTATCCTGCTCCTTATTGTCCGAACTCATTGTTCCACTTAGTCTTGCACCTCCTTGTCAAATGTCCTGATTTTAAGGACGATTGTATGTTTTGTTTTCCTAATGTTCCTTGTGCTCATTTGTCCCTCCGTAGAATCCTTGGTGAATCAAATAGCTTTCATATTGCACACCCTATTCCCTTTTATTTTTGTATTGCATCCTTGGTGATATTAAATGCCTTTGAATATTCAGTGACACTAATGGTGCTATAGTCTTCCCAGCTTGGTGCCTTTTTTTGATAATAACTTACTTGCATCATGATAGATAATGAAGCTGTACTGGCTTAGCTTATATTTTTTTTTACACTGTATAGTACTGTATATGCATTAGGCTTGCCATTTATAAGTGTTAATTAAGTTATAAGTGTCAAGCAATTCCTTGTGCTTGGATTGCTTTCAATATAATATGAAGCCTAGATTATGGTACATGGTTTTTAAATGCTTCCTTCTACTGGCAGATTGGTGGCTGGTTCGCCTCCAAATATGCCCATCTACAGCGGATGGTTAGATTGCTACCGTAATTTGCGACAAGTTCGTGGCCTGAAGCGAGGATCTTCCATGTTGTGGCGCGCTTATACTGGCCCTACAATTATGTTGGATGGCTGTCTCAATATTCCTTCTTCAAGCATGTTTGCAATACCCTTATCATCTTAGCTTTATATGTTTTTGGGGGTAAATCCAATTTTTTTATTTTTATTTAATCATGATATAATTTAAATGTACTTGATAATTACAAATAAATGATTTGTAAACATAAAGTAAAATGTGTTCCAACTCATGCCAGTAAAGGGGAAATTTGTTTTAATCGCTTGACCTCAAAAAAATATTAACTTTGATTTTGAAAGTCAGTCATATTTTTTTGTTTTTGATTTTATATATATATATATATATATATATATATATATATATATATATATATATATATATATATATATATATATATATATATATATATATATATATATATATATATATATATATATATATATATATATATATATATATATATATATATATATATATATATATATATATATATATATATATATATATATATATATTTATATATTTATAATATACACATGTACACACACACACGGAATATAGTTTGTATGTATAGGAATTTGCAACTGTTTTGCCCCAGGGTTTAATTACATTCTTCTGTTAAGTATTTTTCATGCGTATTTTATTATCACCATTCTTATAATTTTATAACTTTGTAAATATGATGTACAGTACTGTAAATTACCATTTGCGCTTGCCCATAGGACCCTCCAACCAATTGAAGCACTCTGAGTTTGAAGGGAAGTATTTTGGATAAACTAATTTATGTTTGGACTATAAACAAGGATGCCAGCTGTCCCACAATCTGCACTGCCAAGCTTTGTTATTTACTAAATTTAAAACTTGCCTCTTACAATTGTCAATAGTTTCACACGCTCAATTCTCACTCGGTGCACACACTGAGCTCCCTTTCGCTTCCTTAACTCCCTCTCGTGTTATTAAGCAGAATGGACGGTTAACTAGTACTGGGCTATGACCTTGACAACCTGTACACATCTTGGACTGTTAAGTATAGCTTTCCCAAGGAAATAAATTTACTTTTTTATTCGACCATCCATCAGTGAAGATGATAATTGCTCATGAATATTCTCACTATGCTTTACAAATTACTTTCCAGAAAACTGGACGTTATATTTTCTTTGTTTTACAGTGATGTAGACCATTCGTGTGCGCATATTTCCATACTGTATTTTTTAATTGCTTTTGTTGAAAAATAAATAAAGTTGAAATTTTCGCAAACATTTATATATTTAGAAGTCGTGTATAATCTAGTATGAGTGTACATTTTGCTTTGCATCGACGTTCCAACACATTCATTTGGAAAAATTAACACAATTTATAGGTAATGTACAGGTATAACCCAAAAACCGAAAAAACTTAAGAATATAAACATTTTGGGCGTTGCTTACTGGGATCTTGATGTCCAAAATGTTAGGGTATGCACCGATGATGAATGTCTGTGTTACACGTGTTCTTAACCCTTAGACAGCGGCTATGGAGAAGTGGTCATAGCTGCCTAGGCACAAACAAATAAAACATAAAAAAAAATTATAGAATTATTAATTTGTATGCAAAATGTAAGAACACAAAAATAAGTATTTATCGTTTTACTGGGTGGATGTGCTTTGCAAGGCTGTGTGGTGCTTGACTTTACTGACGCTTTTGTTGTTTCATTCATTGTTTTCACTTTTTTCTTTTCATCCACAGGGCTCTTATATCTATATGTGCATCATACATGTAAAACCCAGACAATAATTGTTTATAAACCATCATATGACAATGTCTGCACTTCACAGAGAATCAATAATTTACAATGACCGCTGCCTAAGGGTTAAGTTAAAGGACTACAGTCAGTCCTCTTAAGGATGGGTAGACGTAGAGCAAGCCACGATTACAACTGTGCACTCGATTGGTGGCAATGAAGAGTCGAAGGTGTTGCCCATTGGACGTAGGCTGGCAATTTAAGGGTTTACGAGAATGAAAAAGGACCGCCCCCTTTCCTTCCCATGTGCCAGCAACTACTGTAATTAATGTAACTTTTGTCATGTGCAGTCTACTACGTGAAAATTAATTTTATCAAATTTTCAGTAAACAGTGCCAGACTTTATATCCCAAAAAGGAAAATAATTTAAATAATATACTGTAGATTGTTCATTTTAGTTTAGTATATTTAATAAAATCATCCTACTATCCAAAAATGGTGGTACAGTAATTATTATTACTATGGATGGAAGTACAGGATATGGACATTTGATCTTTAAAAAGGTTCAAGTTTTGTACTATTCATTTTATGGAGGTTCAGGGGAATTGGGCAAGAACCAAACCTAAACTTCACTTAAACTTGTTATACTGTACAGTACTATATTAGGCTAAGATGGTATATCTTAGGCCCAGAACAAATTAAATTGTTAGTATTCTACTTTGGTGTATGTTCTTTTTAGAGTATTCAGATAGGTTGAATACAAACTACATGATAGTATACAAAATATGAAAATTTATTGAATACAACAATCCATATTTTGTCCTTGCAACCTAAAGCTACATTGGATGGAATCTTTTGAAAGATTAGTTGAATGAAACTCATAAATCCAGTGAAGGTTTATTACTTTTTGAGATAAAAATTTGTGTAGTACAGTACAGTATAATTGCATGACACCTATAAGGGTTCTCTAGCATCTATTTGAGTATTTGTACTTCAGAGCATTGTATAGGTTTTGAGTTCAGGAAATCTGAAATATTGTGCATGGCAGCCCATCCTCCAAACAGACCCAAAAGTGATTCCATGTACCTGCCAAACCCCCTGTTTATTCTATGAAAAACTGTCTACACACGACTCTCAACTGATGACGCTCGAACAATTTTGGAACAAATGCTTCACTGACGAATTTTGTTCAAACCATAACGCTGTAAATGCTTCACCCACGTACTACAAATACTAATAATCGCCAACAGAACCTAAACACCTAACCTGACCTATGGCTATATATGCACAATATGCTAATATATTATTATTATAATTTATATTTGAGAAAATTCCTGTTTTGAATAAACAGCATGTTAAAATTTATGAATGCATCTGTGGGGTTGACCGCTGGATGTAATGGACTTGAGCCGAGGACGAGTTGTGCATGGTACTTGTTATTGAGGCTTTGAATCGAGGACATTTACACAACCACTGCTACCAGCTCATTCCACTTAGTAACCAGATACACTGCATATTAGAATTAGATTACATCTCCCTGACTCATTTGTGTTCTAACTTTAAATGAGCGTGCGGATGCTGCTGCTAAGGAAGCTGTCAGCACTTATCCCATCTCCCGTAAAGGTATTCCTTATTCCGACTTTCACCCAGTTATTCATTCCTCCATCCTTGCCCGTTGGCAGGGTTGTTGGTCTTCTGTTACTGGTAACAAACTGCGTACTCTTAAGAGTAGTGTGTCCCTGTGGCCTTCCTCCTACCACCGTAACTGGCGGTGGGAAACGGCTATTGGCCATACACGTTTAATTCACTGTCACTTAATGGAGTGCCGCCCTGCTCCTTATTGTCCAAATTGCATTGTTCCTCTTACTGTCGTGCACATTCTTGTTGAATGTTCTGACTTCCAGGATGAGCGTGTGTCTTGCTTCCGACCATCCCTCATGGTCAATTGTCCCTCGATAGAATTCTTGGTGAATCGGATACTTTTGATATAGTTCGCCTTGTGTTCCTGTTCTCGTATTGGCATCCTTGGTGATATTTGGCGCCCTCTGATTACTCCGCACATTTGGTGGTGCTACATAGCCTTCCCAGTTTGGTGCCTTCTTTTGATAATTACTTACTTGTGTTCTAACTTGTTTTATTTTTCAAAAGGAAAGGATTGTTCAGTTTATACATTTCCCTTGGTATCTTGGTATACATTTCTTGGTTGTAATCATATCTATCATCCTTCCATTTTTGTTATTTAAATTACCAGCCTTCTGGTTAATCTTTCTACCTTTTTTGGGGGGGGCTATGTCAAATGAAGGTTCTATACAAGGGCTGCATATTTTAAGTCTGGTTTGTAGGTGGTAATGTGTTCTGAATGACTTTGTATTTGTGTGTTCATGTTTGAATCAAATGGAAAGTGTAGACCCCCCCCCCCACCCTAGAATAAATACGGTGCTTGTCAGGCACTTTTAGGTAATTTTTTTCTATGCATTTTTATGGTTAATTTGGTTTCATCTTCTTCAGTCACACTTGTGCCATAAAGTTAAATGTTTTGCTAAAAAATAACTGATTGAATGAGAAATTCTGAACACATTTTTTGGGAAGCTTGCTTTAGATTTTATTGGCTTGAGTTTGTGATGCATTTTTCTTCCTTTGTAAATGTCATGCTTGCTGGTTAAGCAACATTGCTATTCATTAATTAAGACTGCTATCTACATTTAGAAGATTTTATATTTTTACTAGTTACTTCATACACATACACATTTTGTAATTGTGTAATCTTGTATAATATATATACTGTAATATATATAACGGGGGTACCACCTTTGGAACAATTGTAGGGACCCATAGCCTCGAAGAAGAAAATAGAGTATTCAGAGAAGACCTTGTGGGTTCTCACTGAACACTTTAATCTTTTCTTCTCCTACCACTACACCTCGGCTTAAGAATGTCCCTCTTTATGAACTTTCTGGGTTATGAGCCCAATTTTTTTGTAAAATCAGAATTGAATTACGAACTTTGCTTCGGGTAATGTAATTTGTTGATACGCGTGTGGTGGCACGGCTACCGCACCTCAGTTTACCAGTGCCTCCTGCCTCGTGACAATCGTGCCTGAATTCTTTGTAAAGAATTGGTGTTTTTTGGATTTTTGGGTATTTGAACAAAAAAGTAATTATTATACAGTATATGTTACCATGGGTCCCAAGAAAGTCAGTAGTAAGGTTCAACCTAAGAAAATAGTTGAGTAGAGGATGTCCTTTCCTCATTAAGAAAATGTGTGAAGTATGGGAAGAACTGCAAAGTTTTGTTGAAAAAACTTGCCCAAATAAAGCTGTAGCAGGCTTTGTAGATTTTAGATTGACCTTTTAAATGACAATGTGATGTCTCATTACAGGCAAGTGTTAAAATGTAGGGAAAACAAGTGTGTAGACAGATTCTTAGTAAGACGAGCAAGCAGTGAGCCACAACCAGGTTCTAGTGGTACTCCTGCTAAACGTAGGAGAGAGAAAGTACCCCCAGAGAAGTCATCACTGCCTGATG